CTACAGAATAAAGCAAATCTCCTAGGAAAGTGAGTCCCGCAAATGCACACAAATGAACAAAGTAAAAAAAATACCCAAACGCACAGAGCCCCCCTGCAGAGAGGGCAGTGTCCCCATGTCTCTGTGTGTGTGTGTGGTGGAGGGACACACCCTTTCTTTGTTTTGGACATTGGGGCCACACCCCGTGGTGCTTGGGGACTACTCCGAGTTCTGTGTGGGGAATGAGGACCACACAGTGATCAGGGCACCTGGATCAAGCTGCGCCTGAATCCCTCCACGCTGCCTCTCTGCTTGAACAAGCCAGTATGGTCCTCTCTTCCGGCTTCAGTGCGGGAGCCAGCTGCCCTCTCCATGGTACCCAGAGCGACTTCTGCCATCAGCACTCACCTCCGTCAAGCCCCCAAGTCACCTTCTCAGGAACCACCTCCATCCTCTATTTAGAACTGCAACTCTAAAACTGCAACCCTTCCCCTCTGCCCCCAATCACCTGGACTGTGGGCCACTCCGGGGGCCAATAGCTACTCCACTTGTCCGTCATTGTCTGCTTTGCTCAGACTAGACAGCCAGCTTCTTTAGGGGAGACTTCCTGGGGTCTGTGTTTTTTACTGTCAATCAATCACATGCAAGGCAAGTGCCTTAACCCCTAGACTATCTCTCTGGTTGTTTCAGTTTTTTACTGGACCCACCTCCATCAGGGAGAGAAGGACCAGGGCCTGGCACAGGCTTAGGCAATGAATGAGAAGCCGATGACTGACTGACTAGAGAGCAGGAAGGGAGAAGCAGGCAGGAAGTCCTCGTGTATGCCAGTGACAAGGTCCCTGCTACTGTTGCGATTTCTATTACAATTTCTATTGCGATTTCATTATGATTACTATTGCATATTACTGCCACAACTATTGAATTACTATTATTGTTGCTATTTTGTGTATGTGTGTGTGTGGGGGGTGGTCCACACCCAGTGATGCTCAGGGATTACTCCTGACTCTGCACTTAGGAATTACACCTGGCGGTGCTCCGGGGACCATATGGGATGCTGGGGATGGAACCTGGGTTGGCTGCATGCAAGGCAAATGCTCTACCGGCTGTCCTATCGCTCCAGCCTTTATTGTTGCTATTTTCAATCCTTTAAGGTTTGAAACTCCCACATCCCTTCTCACAGAATTTTCCAATTTCACACCTTCCTGACCTAGACTGTACCCCACCAATATCACACTGCTGGTCAAAAACATGCTCCTCTTTAATTTTCCGTGTAGGTGGAACCAAATGAAAAGGCCAAGTTTTGTAAAGTCGGGAAGGGTGAGCTAATAGTTGGTCATGGGACTTCATCCATGTGTTTCTCACACAGCTGTGTGGCCTGGACCCAGCCACTGCCCAGTCAATAGTTGGTCTGCAGTGAGCCCACCTGATTCTGGCCCTTCCGACTGGAGGTGATGGGGCAGCACCTCCAGAGTGCCACAAATGCACTGCCCAGAGGCTTCAAATAATACACAGAGGGACCCTCTGAGTTATTTTCTGGTTCGGAAAAAAAGCTGTCTCCTGGTAATAAAAACGGGCCAGCAAAAGAGCTCAAAGGGCTGCAGTGCGGGCCTGGCATGAGCATGGCTGGGCGTCCGATCCTGGTACCGCACACCCTCTTTGCTGGTGTAGCTCACGTGGCACAGAATCACTGGCCTGAATTGCACGGCCGCAAATGCGGCCATGGACATCTCATACCTCACACCACTCGTATTCCAAGAGAAGCACACCACATTTGATGAGGTTTAAAGTAGAAGGCAACCAATCTTAGAGGGAAATATATTTTTTACAAATATATATATATACATACATAAAATCACACAAAGCTCACCTTTAACAACATGTTAGTGATCTCTTACAAAAAGGCTTAATGGCCCCTGGGTGAAATACAACAATCTTCACACACTTTCCTCTAAGGAAAGTTTTTTTTTTTTTTGAGCATTTTCAATGATTTATTCATGACAAACAATACAAAATAAATTATTTCAGTTCTGCTTTGGGGCAGGGGTGGTTGGGGTTCGGGAAGGAAACATCCGAAATATGGTGGTGGGAAGGTATAACGATGGTGGGATTGGTGTTCGAATGTTAAACGTAATCAAATATCGTGAACTACTTTAAAATAATAAAATTAAATGTTAAAAAATCACCGGCCTGAAGGGAAAGCCTCATCCTCAGGCCCAGCTCCGGGCCAAGAGGCCAGGGATTGCTGGGATCAACCCCCGTGATCTAGTGCACAGTCGCTCCCACTCCTGAAACCCTCAACAAATATGAAACCAAAATCCATGTTTGACAGCAACTATGTGTGGAAATAGGAAATGGTTAAATTCCTTGCCAGAGAACCAAGACTAGCTGCCTCTAAGGATGAAGGACGAGGCTGGGCGATTGCTTGGTTATCACTGTCTTTGTTCACCGAATCTTCTTTTGGGTGGTGGTGAGGGTGGGGATAGGTGATAACTGGTGGTGGTAGGAATCAAAATGCAACCAGTCACATGCAAGGCAAATGCCTTAACCCCTAGACTATCTCTCTGGTTCTTCTTACAAAGCATTTAGTTACAGATTTGCTAAGGCTCGATACGGGGTGTCAGAGCTGAAAGTCATTGGTGACTGCATGCAGGTGTCCCCCATTTCACAGGTGGGAAAAGCGAGGGGGAAGGCACCATCCTAAGGCCAGGGAGTAGAGGGTAGAAAGAGCTCATCCTGGAATCCACGTCTGTTTTAGCTCCCTGGCCCTCTGGTCCACACTGCTTCTTGGCTGGCCAGACCCCAGTACCACCAGCTACAGGCCTCTGACGTGTGAGACTCTGCTTCTCAAATGAAATGTTTCTTAAACTTTGACTTCATCAACCCAGAGCTCCTTGACAATCAGCCAAGTTAACAGTACTATTTTCTTTCCCTTTCTCTCTAGTTACTTCCTCGGAGTAAAGTCCTCAGCGCAGAAGTTGAGGGGCAAAGGGTGGTTATTATCATTTTCTTGCACCTTTGTAACTGGCAGTCAAATTGCTCTGCAAAATCATATCCTGCCCACACAGAACCCTCTTCTTTCTACATGTATGTCTGCAATTTCTATAGGAAAACACAGACACACTGTTTTCATTGACATGCGCATGTGTTTTTAAACAAACAAATCTGTTCTTGGAGTCAGGATCCCCAGGGCTGGGAGGCTGGCTGACTGTGTGACCCCTGGCAAGTCACATCTCCTCCTGAGATGGGTGATGCCTATCTGTCCACGGAGCGGTGGATGAGAGGATTTCTTAAGATCCCTTTGAGCATGGACATTCCACAGTCCTCCGGTGCATTTTTTAAAAGTGATTCGACAGGATGACTTTTTTTTTTTTGTAATTAGAAAATGCCCTGCTCCTAGTCAATGGGGCCCCACAGGGTGCTGCATTCCCAGGAAAGTGGGTCTTGGGTGAGACATCTGTAACAATGTCGGGACACTTAGGCTACACTTAAGCCCCTGCACAGGAGCTGCGCTTATACTTAGCTTGCTCTTGCCAGGGGGTAATAATACTCTCTCGGAGAGCCCGGCAAGCTACTGAGAGTATTCGATATGCCAGACACAGTAACAACAAAGTCTCCAATGGAGACGTTACTGGGCCCGCTCGAGCAAATCGACGATCAACGGGAGGGCCTTTACTTACTTACTTAATAATACTCATCTGTGGTCTAACTCCAAGGTTCCTCACCTGCACCCCACCCCTGGGGGCAAAAGGCGAGGTCCAGGTTATTGTACTTCACCCCTAAAAGCCCAGCACTGCAGTCAAAGGCAGTTCACGCCAGCAAGCCCTTCCCCCGGTCTCTGCCCACCTGTTTCTGATGACCTGTGAGTGAATGTGTGAGTGTGTAAGTGTATGTGAGCATGTGTGAGTTTGAAGCGAGTGTCTGTGTGTGAGTTTGTGAGTGCGTGTGAAGCGAGTACATGTGTTTGTGTGTGTGAATTCGTGAGTGTAAAGCGAGTGTGTGTGAATGTGTGAGTGTGTGTGTTTGAAGTGAATGTGTTTATAAGCGTATGAAGCGAGTGTGTGTGTGTGAGTGAGTGTGTGTGTCCATGTGTGTGTGGATCCTTCTCTTTTCTTGGGTTGTGAGCAAGTTCTGGATGAGGGGCAGGTCCCGACAGGGACAAGAGAGACTAAGAAGCCCAGATGGTTCTCAGAAGACTCCCTCTACCAGGGTAGGAGGGGCTGGGGAGGGGCCCCTGAACTGGAAGGGCTCAGAGAGGACCCTCTCTGGCTCCACCTCTCAGCCAGACCCGGCACTCCCTGAGCAAGTGCAGATGGCTGGGGGGACCCAGGCCCGTGCCCTGGGCAGTGCGCCAGCCCCGTCCCTTCGCCCCCGAGACCGCTGACCGCAGACTTCCCGGGCCGGGCTGGGAGGTCAGCAGTTGTCCGCCTTGCCTAGAGCGGGCGCGGTCCCCGCGGCAGGCTGCGCACACCAGCGAGGACGGCACACCCCGGGGCCAGGGCTCCCTCCCGGCGGGCCACACGTGTGCTGGGCGCTGCCGCCTGCCTGCCTCTGCCGGGGCTGCTCCGACGCGGTCCCCCGGGTCCAGGTGCATGCATGCATGTATGCATGCGTGCGTCCGCTGCAGACCCCCAGACCCCCCAGGTGGCAGACTGACAGCCTCACCCCGCATGCCCAGGCTGGCGCGGCAGGGAGGGAGACCTGGGTGGGGGAGGTCTCCCCGCCGGCGCCAGCGAGCTGGAGCTCAGGAGGTCCCCAGCCAGAAGGGACGCGGCCCCGTGGGGGCACCCAAGCCGCACGGGGGCGGCGGTGGGGTGTGTGGAAAGCGCTTCTCCGCGCCCGGGGACAGCGGCCTCCGAGCAAGACCAGAGCCGGCGGGGACTCCGGAACCTCGGGGCGACTCCTCCCCGCCGGCGAGGGGAAACTGAGGCCCAGGGCGGTCACGCAGGGCCCCCTGCATCCCCGCCGGGGCGCGCGCGCACCCACACCCACACCCACACGCACACGGCGCGGGGCCGCCCTACCTTGGTGACGGCCGCGCAGGTGGCGCTGGCGCTGGCCGCGGCGTCCGGCTCCCGCTCCGCGCTGCCCGCCTAGTCCCCGCGCCCCGCAGGCGCACGGGCGGGGCCGGGGGCGGGGGCCGGGCTGGCCCCGCCCGCGCGCCCACGGCTCCCCGCGGGCCACCCCGCCCGGCCCCGCCTGGCCTCCTCCCGGCCCTTGTCCCCGCGCTCACCACGCGGGAGCGGCGGCGCGGGGGGCCGTGTCCCCGCGGCCCTCGCCGGAGGCCCGGCGCGCAGGTGGATGGACGGCAGCGCGCGGCTGCCCGGGGCCCCGCCGTCCACCCACCGCGCTGGGCACGACCCCACGCCGGGTCAGCCGGGCCTCTGAGCCTGCACGCTTCCTGATGAGCTCCCGGTGGGAAGCCGAGGCACGGGGTGGGGGGTGGAGGCGCATCTCGGTCACGGGCCAACAGCTGGTCAGTCCGGACTGCAGGCGACCGGGACTCCCAGGCCCCGCTTCTTGTCCACCCTCGGCCAGGTGACGTGTCCGGGGGCGGAGGGGGGTGGCGAGGGCCGTGCTTGGCAGGGCCTCCAGCCTGCCGTCCCGGCTCCCGTATCAGCATGAAAGGATGGGCGTTTGGTATTTCCACAAAGCACACGGGAAAACAGCCAGTGAGGAGAGAAGGGGGAGGGGGGTCCTGGGACCCTTAGGTTTCAAAATGGCCTTTATTTGTGATCGCTCAGAGGTCAAGGTCAGGCTGTCTTAGTTCTTCAGCTCCCCCAGGTTAGAGGCTGCACCCCACCTCCTGGATCCCTCCCCAGGGGCCGAGCCATGGTAGAGGTAGGAGAGAAGGTAGGGCGCTTGCCTTAAAGGCAGCTGACCCAGGTTTGATCCCCAGCATCCCCTATGGCTAAACCCTGAGCCCTCCAGGTGCCATCCCTGAGTGCAGAGCCACAGCTGGGTGAGGCCCCCAAACAAATAAGGCGGTTGTGTGGGGGAGGGAGATCTCTTCCTGTTCCTGCAGCATCTCAGCTTCATCCCCTCCCTCAGGGCCAATAGCAACCCTGTGCTGTAGGAGGTGGGGCCCTGGGGGAAACAGGGAGAATCCCTCCAGGACCTGAGGGGTCTGGGTCTGTGTGTGCCTGCCTTCACTCCCTTTAATACATCTGGGCATGAGGGGTGCGTGTGTGTGTGTGTGTGTGTGTGTGTGTGTGTATGCGCGCGCGCCTTCACTACTCTTTTGTGGGGGGGCACACCCAGCGATGCACAGGAGTTACACCTGGCTCTGCACTCAGGATTTACTCCCGGTGGTGCTTAGGGGACCATATGGGATAGTGGGAATCGAACCCGGGTCGGCCGCGTGCAAGGCAAACGCCCTACCCGCTGTGCTATCTCTCCAGCTCCCACCGTCACTACTCTTAATACAAGGGGCAAACAGCCAAAGCAATCGTGACCCTCCCAGGGGCACCTTAGTTAGGAAACCACGCCAAAGGCTCAGCCCCGTGGCCCGGGACCCCTTGGCCAGCACCTTCTCTTGGGTCTTATTGTTGATGGGTGGACGGGCCAGGCAGCCACAGTCCCCAGGCCCCACTTCCTTCCCTGGGTGTGGGGTGTCGCCTGGGGACGGCTGTGCTTCACCAACCACCAGTGCCCGGTGTGGGGCTGGACTGTGTGTGTGTGGGGGGGACAGTGGCCGTGTCCATTTATATGCTCAAGGGGAGTGAGCTGAGAAAAGCATTATGGGACACGGGGGGGGGGCTAGTTGTTGGCACATTCTCTGTGGGGTGGGGGCCCCAACTCCTCCTCCCCCTGGCTGAAAGGCTGGCAGAGGGGGCCCTGGGGCAGGAGGCTGTATCCCCTGGGGGAGGAGGTGGGGGTGCGAGGGATCAGATCCTCCAGTGAGGCTGGGGGGTGACAGCTGTGGTGCGGGCCAGGAACCTGACACCAGGGTGGTCCCTGAAGGCTCTGTAGGGTAAGGGGGGGCGGGTTTCTGGGTAGCAGCAGTGGCCCCCAGCAGGCGGGGGCTTCCTGCTCCCACGCTCAGGCCCAGCTTTCCCCAGTACCGAGGGTGGTGTGTGTGTGTGTGGGGGGGGGGGTCAGCTCCAGAGGAGGGGTGAGTAGGGGAGAGTGCAGACAGACAGGGTCCTGGGCCCAGCCCTCGTCTCTCTGTAGCTGTGTGAGCTCTCTGGGTCTCCTCTGGGGCAAGCAGCCCCCCCCCCCCCCCCCCGTTCCCATTCTCACCCACTGGCACACCCTCCTTTGGGGAGTGTCCCGCGATACGGAAAATGGTTAAACATTCTACTATAGAGGCCAGAGCCCTAAAACGGCAGCTAAAGCACCTGCCCTGTGCACAGCAGGCCCGGGTTCGAGCCTGCCAGGAGTGATCCCTGAGTGCAGAGCCAGGAACAAGCCCGGAGCACCACTGGGCGTGCCCAAGGAACAATCCGGGGGCCTGAGGGTGCCTGGCGGGGTGAGGGGTGGGAATCGCAGCCTCAGCCTGTCAAAAGCTGGGGGGGGCTCTCTGGTGTGGCCAGAAGGGAAGCAGAGGCTACAGGGCGCGCAGGCTCCCCTTGTCCCCAGGCAGGGCGGGGAGCCTTTTGCCCCCGGGGGTGGGGGTGGGGTGGAGGGGCAGTGAAGGGGAGAAGGGGGGAGGGGAGGAGAGTGGAAGAGAAGGTGGGGAGGGAAATGGACAGGTGGGTGTGGGACAGCGTGCAGCCCTCTCTCAGCTGGGTGTTTCCTCCTCCGGTTTGGGGGCCACACCCGGAAGTGCTCAGGGGACCACACAGGGGGTGCTGAGGTTGCCGCGTGCCAGACAAGTGCCTCAACCCCTAAACTATCATCTCTCCAACCCACAGAGACACGGAGCCATGGAAGGGCATGACTCGGGGACACTGGCACAGAGGGCAATGGGCGTGGCCTCCTCCCTCTCCCTGGACACGCAGAGAGCAGGGATCCCCACTCTGGTTGGCCTGGCACGGCCACAGGCTCTGCCATCACCTGCTCTGCAGGGTCCCAAGCATCGCCGAGGGGCCTGGACAGGGCCGGGAACTGGGCGCCCCTGGCCGCTCATGGAGGCTGCTGAGTGTGGTACAAGCTGCAGGGGGCCACGTGGCTGCCCCCTAACCCCCAAGCATCCATTTGTCATGAAGGAGGTGACTGGGACATGAGAGAGAGAGGGGACAGGAGAGAGAGACAGAGACAGAAAGACAGATTGAGAGAGAGAGAGAGAGAGAGAGAGAGAGAGAGAGAGAGAGCGCGCCTGACTCAGGGCCTTGTTCTCCCCCACAGCAGTTCCTCTTGGTGCTGGAAGGGTTTTTTCCCTGGGAACCCCCCACAAAGGGACCCAGCAGCCAGGCGGGAGCTGGCCTGGGCAGAGATATCCTGACCCTCTGGCACCGGACACAGCAGCTTTGAATGCACAGTCCCCTCCCCCATGGGAATGGGGTGCAGGGGGAGGCAGGAGGAGTGGGGCAGATGTCCCAGGGGGCGCCTTTAGCGACTGCAACAACGCTCCCGACCCACAGTCTGTGTGCACCACTGGCTCCAACATTTTACCTGGTTTCACACGGGTGAGAGTGAGGGGATGCTGCAGGGCCCCAGCAGGCAGTCGGGGGGCTAAAGTGCTCAGTGGCGGAAGTGAGGTGGCAGCCCCGGGGGTGTACTGGGGATGGAGTCAGGTGCCGTGGGGACCCCAGGACCTCGGGGACCCCTCCCAGCCCGCCCCGGTCAGGCATCTCCATCCCCCTCGTCCTCGCTGGCATAAGCCTCGGGCGGCGCCGGCCCCTGGCACGTGCGAGACTCCAGGTACTCGGCCTTGAGACGCTCCAGCTCCCGCAGCTCGGCCTCCAGCCGCTCCCGGTGGGCCGCCCGCAGCCCCCGGAGCTGCTTCATGGGGAAGGGGTTCATGTCATTGAAGGCGATGGTCATCAGCTTCCTGGGGAGAAGCAGCGCCCTGAGTCCACTGCCCGGCCTGTGCTCCCGGGGGCCCCTGAGGTCTTCTCCCCCATGGTGGAGTGCCCTGCCCTCCGAGAGCTCTTTCCGAGCAGGGTGGGGGGTGGGAAAGGGAAAGTTATGTCCCTGGACGGATGCCTGCCTGGAGGAGGTGGCCTAGAAAATAGAATCTTACGGGCCAAGACCGTGCTGGCCAGGAGGCATCTTAAAAGCCAAGAAGCCGCAAGGCCCAAAGCGCCCGGACAGAGGCCCTGGCCTAGGAAGGCAGCTCGGTCCTGTTTGGGAAGGTCACAGGCCATGGGGCTGGGGGGCGGCGGTGGGGGAGGGGAGCTTTCAGGAAAGAACACAGCAGCGAGGCTGAGTGCCTGGGGGAGTGCGGGAGGTGGGTTGTCCCCTCACCCCCTCACCGGCTGTCGCAGATGGTCTTGGTGAAGAGGCGCAGGTACTGGTAGATCTCTAGGCTGTCCTGTAGCCTCAGGATCTCCTGCTCATTGTACTTGAAGATGGCCAGGGCATAGCGGAACACCACCTGCGGGGGTGGGGGAAGTGAGGGGGAGAAGGCATGGGGGGGTGTCAGTGAGACCCAGCCTGGCCCAGCTGTGGGGCGCAGGCTGGGGGACCCTGCAGGACAAGCCAAGGGGGGTCATGGCTGGTGGGGGGGCTCTGGGGGGTCGGGGCAGAGCGTTCTGGAGGAAAAGCCGGGTAGGGCTGTCACTGCAGGGGGCACTGGCAGGAAGCAGGTGATCTCGGAGACCCAGGGGGCTCAGGAACTGCTGTCCAGGAGGGCAGAGGCAGGGGGCGGGCCAGAGTGAGGGCAGGAAGCAGCGGGGCTGATAAGGGCTGTGAGCAAACAGGAGGGAGAGGAGGAGGTCCTCGCCGGACAGCGGGGCAACACCCCTGGTCCCCGCCTGTGCCCATGTCCTGGGGCAGGGGAAGAGTCTGTGGGTGCGGAGGGGGTGGGGCAGGGGAGACCCCCCCGCCTTCCCGGGCACCCACCTTGGTGCCCTCGTACAGGAAGGCATCCCAGACCCGCAGGAGGATGTCGCTGATGAGGCTGTCGGCAAAGACCACCAGGAACCAGTTGAAGGTGATGACGGACAGGTCCACGCGGTGCTGGGCCAGGTGGGCCGTGAGCCGGGGCAGCTTCTCCGCGAGCAGGTCCTGCAGGACACGCTGGTCCACCTGCGGGCCCAGGTTGGAGTGGGGGGGTCGTCAGCCCTGGCCAGCACCTGGGGCGGGGCCCCATGCGTCTGCTGCTACCCCCCCACACCCACCTCTGGCTGGGGGCCTTGGGGGGGGGTGGCTCAGCGTCTTGAGCTGCTGACTCCTCCTTGGTCGGTGGCATCTGGGCTCCTCTGCCACCCACTGGGACCACCTGAGGCCTGGCTGGGCCCACGTCTGTCTTCCTGCTCCCACCTCGGGCCCTGCCCTGCAGGCGGCCACAGTCCTAGCACGCTGGATGTTGAAGCATCTTCCTCCCTTCCACCTACTGCCCCTCCCTGCCTGGGCCCCCGCAGCTGCTCCGGGTAGGAAGAGTCAGCCCCAGTTCCAGCCTGGCGCTCCCCAAGGGTGCTCCTTGCTCTGCACAGTCCCAGTTGGCGCTGGGACTCTGGCTGGGTTGGGGGGGGCGGTGAGGGGCAGAGGCAGCAGCCCTGGAGGCAGCTGGGGAGTCCGGTCAGGAATCATCTCTGCCCTCTACCCCCCTGCATGCCCAGTCCTCCACCCTACTCCTTCGCCCAACCCCCTGCAAATTCCCGACCAGCAAATACCGAGTGGCACACGACCACTGTCCTCTCTTCCGGGGAGATCATGAGCCTCCAGTTACGTGAGGAGACCACCGGGGTTAACATACCGGGTGGTCCGAGCCCCTGTCAGCGTCAGCTGGGCCCAGAGGGGGAACAGTAGGCAAGGCTGACTCGGGGGCGCCCCCTGCAGGCCCCGCTCACCTGCGATGCCGTCAGGGTCTTACTGTAGTAGTCAGCGGGCAGGATGGACTCCACGATTGCCACCAGGCACCAGAAGGCGATCTCCTCCTCTTCCAGGACCAGCAGGGCGATGGCCGCCAGCCTGGGGACGAGGGAGGGGGTGAGCGCCACCTGCAGCTGCCCCGGCCAGGCAGCCTGTGGTCCAAGGGGGCTCCCAGGTGCTGGGCAAGTACGGACCAACACCTTAAGGAGGGACCCAGGGGTGGGTGGTGTGAACACACTGGAGATGGGAGTGGGGGCACACCCAGAGTCTAGCACGACCTGTAGTCTCTGCTGGGTGACAGTGGACAGGTCACTCGGGCCACCTTTGACTTTCCGCCACCTCGGCGTGGTCACAAGGCTGCTAGGAGGGCGTGTGGTGGACAAACAGTCCACGTGGCCAGCACAGGGGAAAGTATCCCTTGGGGCAGCCACAGGCTCTGAGGGCTGGTCCATGTGGAACCTCCCACTCTTTTTTTTTTTCTTTTTGTGTCAGACCCGGAGATGCACAGGGGTTACTCCTGGCTCATGCACTCAGGAATCACTCCTGGTGGTGCTCAGGGGGCCATATGGGATGCCCGGGATAGAACCCAGGCTGGCCGCATGCAAGGCAAACGCCCTCCCTGCTGTACTATCACTCTGGCCCTGGAACCTTCCTCAGCACCCACCAGGCAGGGGGCACGATTCCTTCCTCCCTGCATTGCCCCAGCAGGTGAGGAGAGACGGGATGATGGTTCAGGGCTCGTCGAGGGTACCAGACACACAAACAGCCTCCTCTCCTCCCTCACTACCCTTCTCCCTGAGTTCCTGCGAGATCACGGGGAGAAAGAGGATCTTACCCCCACCCTCCCGCCATCCCCGGCCCTCCAGGGGCACTGCAGGGATGCACTGTGCTCCTTCTCCCACCTTCCCGGGCTGGGCCAGAACAGCTGCCAGGACGCAGGTGGCCCAGGCCTCAGTCACAGAGATCTGGGCAGTGCTGCAGAGGCAGCTGTGCCGAGAAGCTCCTGGTGGACAAAGAGCGAATGGACAGCGGCCAGTCCTCTTGAGTCCCTCCTGCATGGTGCATGCACCTTGCAGCCCCTCAGGGAGAGCCCGTCTGTCTGACAGGGGAGCCCCGGCTCTGTGGGCTCAGAGAGCATTTCACTAGCCATGGTCACTCTTCCTGGCTTGCACACACATGGGGTTCATGGTCCTGACCTCTAGGACAGCCGGGGGTGGAGGGGGTGTCTCCAGAGAAAGAAAAATTCCTTCTCCCACCCACACCAGAACAGTGGGAGGGAGAGTCCTACCCGGGCTGGCAGATGGGTAGAAATCAGCCTGAGTCCAGGAGGAGTGGACCCCGGGGGCAGCAGAAGGCTCGGCTTTGCTTGGGGAGCTGGGAGTGTCATCCAGCTCAGTCATCCAGTGTGTGATGCACTGGCTGCCACTGTTCTTGTCCGTGCCCCGGGTAGATGTGACTAATGGGCCACGGTGACATTCCCTTGGTGTGTGCGCGGGGATGGACGTTGCTGACTAATCACGGTATACCTTCCTGAGGCGTCCGGACGCTGCTTCAGAAACCCTCAAGCAGGCTGGAGCAATAGCACAGCAGGTAGGGTGTTTGCTTTGCACGCGGCCGACCCGGGTTCCATTCCCAGCATCCCATATGGTCCTCTGAGCACCGCCAGGAGTAATTCTTGAGTGCATGAGCCAGGAGTCACTCCTGTGCATAGCTGGGTGTGACACACTCCCCCCCCCAAAAAAAAAAAGAAACCCTCAAGCTTCCAGGCATTTGTGGAGATGAACTTGGCTAACTAAACCTATGGGGCTAGGGAAACTGGTCTGCCAAGGAAGCCGAAGTGACCGGCCGGGGTGACTTTTGTCAGTCCTTTTTTAGGTTTCTGTGCAGGCTGGTGTCACTAGCTCAGGCCTGCAGCCCACCTCCTGCTGAGGGCCTAAGTGAGGTCTGCAAAGCAGGGGTGAAGGAGGAAAGAAAAGACTACTCGGAGAGCACTTGTCCTCCCGGCATTGCCAGGAAAAAAAAAATCCTGCTTTTATCTTGGAGGAAAGTGGCTTGATACTTCTACTCTGGATTGACAATCATTTCTTTGATCTCTGTTACCCTGGCGACAGGCTGGTTGGGGTTTAATCTTGTGATACTGCACTGTAGTTCTAAAGGCAGCCATCAGGTGGCAGCACGATGACAAGTGAAAGATTCCCCCCGCCCTGCCCCCGCCCCCGGGGGCAGGGGGTGAAGCTTTTGAAAGGTAAAGGGGCCGGTTCCTCACCTTTGCACAGGGTTCCTAGCCCGAGACACTTCCTACCTAAAGCAATAATACCTGCCTAGGTACGGATCACGGGGAAGACAGCCTCCGGTGGAAGGGGTCAAACTGGGGTCGGAGCGAAAGTACATTAGCAAGGCCCTGGCAATGCATGCGGGAGGCCGGCTCAATCTGCAGCACCCCGTGTGTTCCCTCGAGCACTGCGAGGAGTGAGCCCTGAGCACAGTCAGATGTGGCCCAAACACACACACACACACACACACACACACACACACACACACACACCCCAAAAGCTCAACAGAACAGAAAAAAAAGGGTCGGAGCAGAGGGGTGCTTGCTTCCTGTGCCGTCGCCCTGAGTTCTATCCCTGGCCCCAACTATGACCCCCCCCCCGCCCCCGTGTCCTCCCAGAAGTGACCCTGGAGCACAGGCCAGTGAGGCTGAACCCACACTGTCCATCTCATGGGGGAAAGGGGCTCTGGGGGAGAGAGAGAAACGAGACAGACAGACAGAGACAGAGAGACAGAGACGGGGGGGGGGGGGGGGAGAGACAAAGACAGAGACAGACAGAGACAGAGAGACAGAGACGGGGTGGGGGTGGGAAGAGACAGACAAAGACAGAGACAGAGAGGGAGACCAAGAGGGAGACAGAGATACAGAGAGCAGGCAGGAAGGACCGGGCTGGAGGCCTAGGCCCCGGGTGCCTTCCTCTCTCCTGTCTCGCCTTGCCGCGTCCCTGGGGACCCGGGCTGGGGCTCACCTGTTGAGGCCCTGGCAGTAGCCGATGGCGGGGTTCTGCCAGGAGAAGGCCAGCAGCACCCGGCGGAGCTTGTCGGGGAAGCCGGAGGTGGGGCAGGTGAAGTGCTTGTTGCTGGGGAAGGTGCGGTTCAGGTCCAGCTCGATCTGGCGGGCCGCGGGGTGCTCGCAGGCCTGGCCCCGGCCCAGCAGCTCCTGGTAGCGGCCGGGGCCCTGCAGGTGCCGCACGCGGCGCTGGACCAGCCACCTCCACACCCGCGGCCGCTGCTCCCGGGGCGCGCCCTCCCGCAGCAGCTGCTTCAGCTCAGCTGAGGCGGCCAGCTCGCCCAGGGCGGCCCAGCGCTCGGCCAGCGGCCGCTCGACGGCTTGGCGGGCCAGCAGGTGGTGGGAGCGGACCTCCAGGGCCTGGATCTTGGCCAGCAGCTTCAGGTCCTCCACCTCGTAGTTGGGCACCGTGGGGAAGCCGTACTCGTCGTACTCGCTGCCGGCAAGCGGGCGAGGGCCCCGGTCAGCAGGGCTCTGCTCACCCGTGTCAGGCGCCCAGGCACTCCTGACCCGCCTCCCGGAGACCCACTGACGGGCTCTGCTCTTCTCTAAGCCAAGGCCTCACCCCGTGCGTGTGGACGACTCCTCCTCCACGCAGGACTCCTGGACTGCCCCTCCAGAACCCACTTGCAGAGCCACGGCCCAGACACAGGAGGGGAGCCGGGCCACTCCCCCCATGCTTCCCGCCCGTCCAGTACCTCCCTGCCCAGGTGGCCCGGGGGTGCCCACGCTGGGAGGCAGGGGATTTGGGCTGCACCGGGTGGAGGCCCAAGGGGACGCTGAGGACGGCAGAGTGGCGGAAGGCGCGAACAGAGCGGCACGGGGCTCCAAGGCGTAGACCCAGCTCCAGAGAGCCGGCCAGCACATCCCCCTGCCTCCCCAGTCCCTCCAGGGGGGACGCAGGAGACCCAGTGTGCAGGGGCCAGCGGGCAGGGGCCGCTGACTCAGCCCAAGAGGGGCGCGTGGGACCCGCAGCTCACCTGATGGGGCTCAGCCCCACGCCGTCCGCCGCCGCCTCCCCGGCCTCCCACTGCAGCGCCTCCTGGATGAGCTGCCTCAGCAGCTCCGAGCACTCGGGGGGCTCGTCCACCAGGGCCGCCTGCAGCCGGCGCAGCCCCGCCAGGTACTTGCTCTCCACCTGGCAGTTCCGGGCTTGGAGGTAGGCACACTGCAGGGGGCATGAGCGGGTGGGGGGGTCAGGCACCCGGAGGCTGAGGCCTCAACAGCTTCAGGCAGCTCCTCCCAGCTCTCGTCTCTGAGCCTCCCGCCCGGTCCCCCAGACCCCCAGGCCCCTATATCCCCAAAGGGTTCCAGGAGGCAGGGAGGGCTGCAAGAGAGAGACCCCAGGCCCAGCTGGGCTGGAAGGAAGGGGAAGGGTGGGCGGGCAGGCAGAGTGGACACTGGCCAGTCCCCTCCCTCGTGTCTGAGCTCCCTCCTGTGCACGACGGGGAGGAGGAAGCCCAGGGCACAGGGAGGGCCGGTGAGCATGCTCGGTGCGGCACTCATAGTCCATCACCTGAGTGGGCTCTGGTCATTCCCCAGGCTTCCGGCATACGCCCTGACACAGACACACAGAGATACACAGACACATGACACACACAGAGACACAGACACACACATACACACAGACACACAGACATATACAGACACATACACAGAAACAAACAACACAAACACACATAGAGACACAGGGACACATACAGACACGCAATCACACACAGATACTGACACATATAGACACAGATACACATGGGACACAGACATATGTACAAACACACAGACACACAAACACGTATATAGACACACAGAGATGACACACACAGACACAGAGACACTTATACAGACACCCAGAGACACACACAAACACACATACACAGAGACACAGATGAACACACAGATACACACACAGACACACACACACACACACAGACAGACACAGCCACGGCAGCCCTGGGCAGCACCTGCACAGCACCCTTCGGGCCTACTCTGCCTGCTACCTGGGCGTCCAGGGCTGCCTCTCACCCCTCCCCACCTCCATCCACAGCTCTGGTCTCTCTTGGGAAGAGCTTGCTCCACAGCCTGCCTGGGTCACACTATCACCTCCCTAACACGCGGGAGAGGCGACCCCCTCCATCAGAAAGCCCTCCCAGACTTCCCGCCCTCAGGACCCTAAGAATCTCACGACCACAGCACCTCCCCATGGCTGAAATGTCTGAGCCTGTCCTTTGGGGGAAACTGGACAGAGAAGTCTTGGGGGCCCAGGGCTAAAGGGCGGCCAAGGGTGGGGTGGGGGAAGGGCTTGGGTCACACCTGATGGTGCTCAGGGGACCTTATGGGGTGCCAGCGGGGATCTGAAAGGGTGCTGGCTACAGGCAAGGTGAGCACATTAAGCCCTGGGCTAGGTCTCCAGCCCAGGACTTCTCTTTGGAGAGTTCTAATTGTTTCTTTCATTTCTTGCCCATTTATATTCAGATATTGTATTTGCTTATGAGTTTGCCTTGGCTGGTTCTGTTCCTAGGAATCTGACCCTAGGACCACTCCACCTGTTATCCAATTTGTATATAACTGACCATAAGTGCTGCTCAGACTTCACTTCTGGAATCGGTCATGATGTCCCCATGTTCATTTCTGATCCTGAGCCTTCTCTGCTGTGTCCGTGGTCCTGCTGGCTAAAGCTCTGGTAATTTTCTTGATCTTTCCATCAGTTTCTGATTTCACTGCTTTTCTGTTCTCTACTTCATGTATCTCTCATCTTTATTTCCTTCCCTTCGCTAGGCTTTGGGTTTGGTTAGTTCTTCTTTTTAGTTCCTTAAGCTGTACAGTTAATGTTGTGATTTGAGACCTTTTCTTCTTTCTTCTGATGTGTTTACAGATACATATTTCTCCCTTAATTCTATTTTCACTGTGTCCCACTGTGGTATGTTACGTATTTGTTTTAATTCATCTGTATTTTCTACTTTCCATTGAGCTTTTTTTCTTGACTTTCTCCTTAAGAATGTGTATTCTGGGGCTGAAGTGACAGTACTATGGATAATCCAGGTGCCTGCCTCGCACATGGCTGACCCAGGCTTTATCTCTGGCACCACGTCTGGTCCCCTGAGCCTGACAGGGGTGATCCCTAACTGCAGAGGTAGGAGGAAACCCTGGGTGTGGATCCCTAACCCCCCCCCCCCAAAAAAAAAGCACCAAAAAGTGGTGTTTGGGGGCCAGAGGGATCATAGAAGACATTAAGATACTTCCCTTGCATGTGGCAAACCCTGGTTGGATCTCTGGCATCACATATGGTCCTCTGAGCACCACTAGGAGTGATCCCTGAGTACTGGCAAGTAGGACCACCTTCCCCCATCCCCTACCCCCTGCCACCACAAAAAAAAAGAATGTGGTATTTTAATTTCCACAAGTCTGTGAGTTTCCCAGTTTTACTTCTGCTACTGATTGCTACTTTCCTCTGGCCCCAGATAGTTCATGATTAAATGTTAATGGAACACGAAAGATAGGACTGCAGAAAGTACTAATGTACGAATGCAGCAGTAATACAATGGTTCAGGGGGTAGGGCCCTTGCCCTGTACACAGCGGACCTGAATTTGCTTCCCGGCACTCCAGATGGGCCCCGGGCAACACCAGGAGTGATGCCAGAGCAGAGAGTCAGGAGTAAGCCCTGAGCACAGGTCAGTATGGCCCCAAGCAAATAAACAAAATATCCCTCCAAAATAAAATGTTTCAATTTCCTTCTCCTGTCCTTCTGTGGATGTTCTACAGCTAGTTTCTTTGTGGTTGCTATGGGAACAACATTTAAAATTTTGAAGTGACTAGGTCGTGCTTCGAGCTCGTGTCCTCCCTTGAACACGAACCCTGCTAGCTTGTCTCCCTGCTGGCCCATTTCCACTCCCTGCCCACTGTAGTGTGGCGCTGACCCCCATATCTTTGTACTTGTAGCACTGTAGCACTGTCCTCCCATTGTTCATCGATTTGCTCGAGCGGGCCCAGTAATGTCTCCATTGTGAGACTTGTTGTTACTGCATTTGGCATATTGAATACGTCACGGGGAGCTTGCCAGGCTTTGCTGTGAAGGCAAGATACTCTCGGTAGCTTGCCGGGCTCTCCGAGAGGGGTGGAGGAATCGAACTCGGGTCGGCCCGGCCGACCGAGTCAGCCGCGTGCAAGGCAAATGACCTACCCGCTGTGCTATCGCTATGTTCTAAACCATACTCTGACCACTCTTCTAAAAGTGTTCGTCTCTGAAGCCATGTCCAAAAACAAATGTGGTATTACAGACTACAGTTACAAGAACAGTAGCCTTTAGATTTCTTTTTTCTTTTTCCTCATGTATTAGTCTCTGCACTCTCGTAGAAAACAAAGCATGGATTATTTTTTGGGCAAAAAAAAATACTTAGCTTTTATCCTCATCATTGTAGTGACCTTCCTTGAGTTCTTTTATTTCCTTATTTGGCCTCCAGTCACTGGCCAGTGTCTTGTGCGGGGTTCTGTTGAAAACATCTTGCAGGGCAGGTAATGGACTCTCAGTCTGGGCTTATCGGGGATTGTCTTCATTTCACCTTCCCTTCTGAAGTGCTGCCATCTGTGAATTCTTGGGTCGGTGTTCTTCTCTCTGCGCTCCCTGGGCACGGTCACACAGAGCTTGACGGGGAGGCTACCTTCAGGGAAGGGACTTTTGGGCAACTCTCGTCTTGGGGTGCAAGTCACAGATCGTTCTTCCAACAACCCGCGTCTAAACTGCTCCTCACTGGGGTTTGTAACAGGGACATGGTTATGCGTTGTCCACTAGTGGCTGAAAGGCAACTGCACCGTACCCGGGTGTGTACCAAGCCACTGCCTCTGGCCTCCAGTTTTTAATGAAAACCCCCTGAACCTAGGGCCCAAGGGGCCTGTGTAGGGCTGCTTCTTCCTTTCTGCTTCCCAGGTACTTTTGTCTCTGTCCTCTGAGAGTTGCCTGCAACATGTGCCGGTCTGTGTCCATCTCACCTGGAGCTGGCTGAATATGTTCATATTCACATATATCCTGAGTTTTCAGGCATTAATTCTCCTTCTATTTTTTTTTCTTTTTGGGTCATACCCAGCAATGCACAGGAGTTACTCCTGGCTTTGCACTCAGGAATCACTCCTGGCAATGTGTCCTCGGGGGACCTTATGAGATTCGAAGCCTGGTCGGCCGTGTGCAAGGCAAATGCTCTCCCCACTGTACTATCACTCCAGCCCCGGGAATTAATTCTTCTCATCTTCTCTCTGCCCTTTTCTCTTTCACTCATTCTCCTGGGTCAACCATGATGCAAGTTTCTCTGCCTGGCGGGGTCTCATGTGCCTCAGTCATGAGTCCTTATTTCATTGGTCTTGTTTCTCTCTCTTCTAAAGAAAGAAATCACCAAAATTCTTGGTGATCTCCATGTCTGAGCTCCACGCCGACTGCTACCTTTGGTCTCCTCAATATGCCTGTGAATCCCTCTAGTGTAAATTTTTCATGTCAGTTATTACACTTCTCAGCTCTGGAATTTTTGGGCTTCTTTGGGTGTTTTTTTTTCTTTTGCTATTTCCATTTTATTCATATATTATTTTATCGACTTTCTACTTTTTAGTTGCCTTTGTGTGTGTGTGTGTGTGTGTGTGTGTTCCAGATAATTTTACATCTCTCTCTAATATATGAGCCACTAGGTCTTTTTCAGGGACAATTTCTGCTTTTGTTGTTTTGTCTCCTCTCATCTAGATGAATAAGCCATTTTTCTATTTCCATAAATTCCCCCCCCCCTTTTTGTAACGCTTTTTGGGTCACACCTGGTGATGCTCAGGGATTACTACTGGCTCATGCACTCAGGAATTACTCCTGGGGTGCTCGGGGGACCATATAGGATGCTGGGGATTGAACCAGGGTCAGCCGTGTGCAAGGCAGATGCCCTACCCGCTGTACTTTCTCTCCAGCCCCATAAATACCTTATGATTGATATATATTTACTAGAAATTTGAATGTCACGCAGAATCTTAAAAAAGATGCTTTCTGGGCCAGAGCAATAGTACAGCCGGTAGGGTGCTTGCCTTGCACTCAGCAGACCCAGGTTCGATCCCTGGAATCCCATATGGTCTCCCAAGTATCTCCAGGAGTAATATCTGAGTACAGAGCCAGGAGTAGCCCCTGAGCATAGCTGAGTGGGGGTCCTGAAACTAAAAAGAAACAAAACAAAACTTCCTTCTCCATACTTTAAACTTTTTTTTTTTTTTTAGCTTTTAGAGCTAGAGAGATAGTTCAAAGGACTGAGGACATACCTTGCATGTCAGAGGAAGCTGTGTCTGACCCCTGGGCACTACATGGTCCCTTAAGCTGTCCACTGTCCAAACAGTCACGCCTGACCGAGCACCCTGCCCGTGCTGCTGTCCAGCTGAGGACGCGCTCTGGGAGCTTCCTACTCTGCCCTCTTCTCAGAATCCCCATGTGTTGCGGCCTCCTTGGGGACATGAGCTGGGCCTGGCTGGTCTTAACAACCCAATGCCTGTAGCTGCCCCGGAGGCCTCCACCCGCCAGACTGCCTGACCGAGGAGGTTCTAATGAAGGCCCAGCTCTGGAAGGGCGAAGCCCAGGGAAAGAAGGGCAGCAGACGGGTGGAGGTTGGGTGGGGTGCGGGGAGGGGGAAGCTGGGGCAGAGGACCGGGAGGCCTGGGAGCACAGAGGCCCGGTACGGGGCCGCCACTTCTCACCTTCATCAGGAGGGCCCGCTCCTTCTCGGCCACCTTCCTCCAGATCTTTGTGACCTGGTGTATCTCCGAGTTGAGAAAGCGGTTCTGAGTTCGGTAGGCCTCCATGTCGTCCTGGAGAAGCCAGCAAGCAAGGGTTGGACGGGCGGCACCACAGACCCTCCCGGGTCCCATCCTCCAGTAAGCCGCCAACACTCCCTTTCTTTAGAAACTTCCAGTGCCGGCAAAAGAAGAGAAAATCTGTATGGGGGTGTGGTGGGGAGAACCCCATAGCCAAGAATGTGCTTTTCTCATCTGGACCAGCAGAGGGAGCCCTGGGGCTGGAGTGTGAGTCCTGGCCCTCACCTCCTTGTTTGTAAGAGGTGGGGTTGGGGGCTACTGAAGCTCTCGGACCCTGGACCCTCCGTCTCCTCACCTGCAAATGGGGCAAAGTCCACAAGGGCAACCGGGTGAGGGAGCGCATACCATCTTAGGACCTTAGATGTAACACATCCAAGTGGCGTCTGGTTTTATTATTTAATTTTGGTTTTGAGGGCCACATCCGGTGACGCTCAGGGATCATTCCTGGCTCGGTTGCTCAGGCATCACTGGTGGCAGGGTTTGGGGGACCCTCTGGCGTGCTGAGGATGGAACCCAGGTCAGCCACGAGCCAGGCAAGCACCTGACCTGCTGTATTGTTGTCCGGTGCCAGAGTTTGCTTTTTAAAGTCAACATTCTCTCTCATATAGTTTCCACCAGAATGAATGACTAATTTTTTTTTGGCCACACTTGGTGATGTTCAGGGATAATTCCTGACTCTGCACTCAGGGATCACGCCTGATGGTACTCGGAGGACCAGATGGGATTCTGGGGATCAAAACTGGGAGGGTCGCATGCAAGGCAAGTGTCTGACCTGCTATAGCACTGCTCCAACCCCAAGAATGGGCAATTTTGGTGGGGAAGGGGGACCTATTTTTCGTAGTGCTACTCTCTATGTGACAGCTGCAGCCAGTGTCCTGGCATTTGGCTAAAGGGCTAAAGGTTACTGGGTCAGTGACCACAGCTCAGCCTCATCCTGTGGCTGCAGCTATTGTCTGATCTCACTCTGACCTTGCAGTGCTGGCCTGCTGCCCTCCCTATGCTCTCGGGACAGCTTTGGTGGGGAAGGAGGAAAATATGGCCCCCTCTTCACAGATGGAGAGTGAAGCCCCGAGAAGGCAGGAGTAAGCCCAGGGGAATGGCCCAGTGGCCAAGGGCCCCCTCCCCCCCATCTTCCCCTTCGGCAATGGGCACCATCTCCTGTTCCACCCTGCCCTCCCGTCCCGGATCCAGGAGGCACCCAACGGCCTGGTTCCAAGGGTCTGGACACGTGATGCAGGGGACTCCTGCTGGTGGCCTAGCGCCCAGGCAGCCAGGGTGGACGGGGTGAGCAGCAGTGGCCATGAAGTGGGAAGGTGCCCCAGCCGCTATCTTCAAGGTCAGCTAGTGGCCCTGCCTTGTGCGTTCTTCTTGGCTCAGAACTGGAGGGAGGAGAGAGACACAGAGACAGAGACAGAGACAGAGAGAGACAGAGACAGAGAGAGAGAGAGAGAGAGAGAGAGAGAGAGAGAGAGAGAGAGGAGTCGCTCAGGGAGGAGAAAAAAGCCACAGGACAGTCAAGGAAACGCAATCAGGAAGGCATGTGGAGAAGGGGACCCGGGGAGCAGCTGTGGCCAGCCAGCCCGAGGACCGAAAGCAGGGCCTGGGCCTTGGCACTGCCCATGGCTATGCGAGCTGGGGGAAGTGGAGTTGTGGCTGGCACGGGGAGGGGTCTGTCTGCAGTGGTTAGACATGCTCTGTGACCCAGGACCTGTCTCATCTCCAGGTTTCAGCTGTCCCTGCCGATAAAGGGGTGGGTGGAAGTAGAGACGGGCGTTTGCCTTGCACACGGCAGACCCAAGTTCACTCCCCAGCAACCAACAGAATCCCCTGAGCACTGCCAGGAGTGATTCCTGAGCACCGAGCCAGGTATAAGGCCTGAGCAACACTGGGGGTAGGCATCCCCCCCCCCCCAAAAAAAAGGATTGGAAAGACTGGATCCCTCTGTCTTCTGAGCTCTGATTCTTCAAGCGGCCAGTGGTTTTTCCTCAAGTGGCCAGTTTCAACTGCAGAGGGGCATGTCCTCCAAGCCAGGCCTGCCTTGCAGCACGGGGCAAGCAGCAAAGTCCCCACAGAGAACATCTTTGGGCCAAAATGCCAAGATGATGGGTTTCTGCTGCCCTGTTGGTGGAAGTAACACGCTTTCTGCACCCCTGGGGATCACAGTGCTCCAGGTGAACGCGGGGCCTCCTCACGTAAGCCAAAACCTCCTACCGCTGACCAGACCCCACGCAGGCTTTGGCTGATGCTCGGCGCCCTCCGTCTAAGGATGAGTGACTCGGGCATCCTAGCCCACGCCCAGGGCTCCCCGAGCGTCTGAGGGCCGGCTGCATCTGCGGTGCATTTGATGGCGCTGAATCTGACCTCATCTCAGAGTGGCAACAGAAAAGGCAGAGTCCGCAGACTCAGGGGCGGAAGGTGCACTCGGCTCCCAGGTGGGGCAGTGCCACCAGCATCTCTGTGGCTGGGGACCAGGAGTGCCGGGCAGCAGAGGGAAGTGGAAAGTGGGTTCCAAGGCTGCTGTGAAGGGCGCCCCCAGGGGCAGTGGTATTGGCCAGGTTTTTGTCTTCATTTTAGACAGAACACAGGGAGGATCCAGAAGCTAGTTCTGCCCTCCCCTCCTGCCCCGCTGTGGATTTTCAGAGCAAAGAAAAGGAAGAGGTCTAAGAGCCCGCGTCCTCCAAGGCCTCCTCACAGCTCTGTGTGGGAGAGAACCCAGGGCCTGGGGTGGGGGCGGGGGGGGGGAATTCTGCAACAGGGAAGGGGTTTGTGCCATACCCAGTGGTGCTCAGGGCTTACTCCCAGCTCTGTGCTCATTCCTGGGAGTGCTGGGAGGCCATAAGTGCCGCTGTAGACTCAAACCCGGGCAGCTGCATGCAAGAAAAGCCCCAAGCTAGCTGCACTATCGCTGGCTTCCAGCACTTTATCATCATTATTATTATTATTATCATTATTTTTGGTTTGGGGGCCACACTTTACACTGCGCTCAGGGTTCTGCGCTCAGGGATCACTCATGGTGGTGCTCGGGGAATCACAGGAGGTCGGGGGATTGTTGGCTGCCAGCAAGGCAAATGTCCTACCCACTGTATTATCACTTCGACCCCCAGGACCCCAGAGTTTTATACAAATGTGAGGGGACCTGCTGGAGGTCAGGCGGCTGTGCCAGGGTCTACACCAGCTGTGCTGGGCACTGACTGCAGGCCCATGTTGTCCACTGTCTCCACTTAACTTTTCTATTTTTTAAAGTTATTTTGTTTGGGGGCCACACCTGGCAGTACTCAGGGGTTACTCCTGGCTCTGCACTCAGGACTCACTCCTGGTGGTGCTTGGGGGACCATATGGGGTGCTGGGGATTGAACCTGGGTTGGCCGCATGCAAGGCACACGTCCTACCTGCTGTGCTATCTCTCTTGCGCCCTGGACTTTTATTCCCCTTCCCTTGGCTTCACTGCCCCGTTTCTCTGAGACCTCAGCTCGGAGTCCCAAGGCTCTGTGGTGGTGGCTGTGAGTGGGGGGTGGTCTGGGGAGACACGGCCTGGTTTGCAGGGTGGCTTGTAGGAGCACCAGGGGGTGCAGGGGTGAGTGCCCATCCCCAGCCTCAGGTCTCCCAGGGTCTGGCAGCTCCCCCGCAGTGAGGGGGCTGAGGCCCACAGCAGGTATCGCTCCTGGATGCCTTTGGCTCTTTCCAGTGAGAGCCGAGGCAGCCTGGTCAGGGGGCAGCAGGGAGGGCCGTGGGGGCAGAGGCCAGGAGAAGCCACGAAGCTGCGGCCCCTACAGCTCCTCGCTCACACGGCCCCGGGCCGGCCACTCCACGCCACGAGGAGCCAGGGAAGGCCAAGCCCCAGGGAGCAGCGGCAAGGCTCTGAGGAGCTCTGCTTGTCTGTCGGGCTACCTCCTGTCAACTTCAGTAATACTGGGAGACTCGGCTTTGGGGACTGGGGGTGAGGGAGAGGGCAGCGCACGTATAACTGAAACCCAAGCACAAAAATTTGTAAGTCTACAACTGTACCTCATGGTGTTTCACTAATAAAAGTTTAAGGAAAAAAATAAATAAAAATTAAATCTGTCACTGTCACACTGTCCTACCATTGTTCATCGATTTGCTCGAGCGGGCCCATTGTGAGACTTCTTGTTACTGTGTTTGGCATACTGAATACTCTCGGTAGCTTGCCAGGCTCTCCGAGAGGGGCAGAGAAATCGAACCCGGCTCGGCCGGGCTGGCTTCGCGCAAGGCAAACGCCCTACCGCTGTGCTATGCCGTGGGGCTGGAGCCATAGCACGGCAGGTAGGGCATTTGCCTTGCACGCGGCCGACCCAGGTTTGATTCCCAGCATCCCATATGGTCCCCCGAGCACTGCCAGGAGTGATTCCCGAGTGCAGAGCCAGGAGTAACCCCTGTGCATTGCCGGGTGTGACCCAAAAAGAAAAAAAAGAAAAGAATGCAAGCCGTGTGCATGGAGAGGCTGCCAAGGATCCAGGGCGCGTCCAGCTCCGGACCCCCACGAGGGGAACACAGGGCCAGGGGGAGGGGCGGGGAGTCTCCTACCTTCAGGTGCTCGATCAGCTCCTGCTGGCTCAGGGCCTCAGGGGGCTCGGGGGGCTGGTCGGGGGGCTGCATGAAGTCGCGGGTGACCTTCTCGGAGAGCTTGCAGATGACCAGCTGCTTGGCCTGGTTCTTGTCCAGCAGCAGCTGTACGTGCTGCCGCAGCTCCTGCAGCTCGCGCTCCCGCAGGCCGGCCTCCTGCACCAGGCCCGCCCGCTCCTGCTCCAGGGCCTCCACCCGCCGGCCCAGCTCCGCGATCTGCCGCACCTTGTGCCGCACCAGCTCCAGCCGGTCCTGGTCCTCGGGGGCGGCCAGGTAGGCGCTGGCCGCCCGCTTCTCCTGCTGGGCGGCCTCCAGCGCCTTGTGCAAGATCCTCACCAGCTCCTGTGGGGGGGAGGGGGAGAGGGAAAGGGGATGCCTGGTGGGCTCGGGGAGGGGCCCCAACAAGCAGCACCCTCTGGGTGTCTCATCCCAGCCCCATCCCATTCCCCGTTTTCCGGTCTGGAAGTTCTAACTGAGGGTCGGGGAGGAGACAGTGCGCCCCCCCCCCCTCCCGTTTGATTGCTGGCACCTCAAGGTACCCTGCACACTAACCCCAGTGGTCCCTGAAGTGAGGGCCTCATGCACCATAGCATCTCAGGCCCTGGCCACATGTCTCTGCGAATGGCTCCCCAAGCCCCAGAGAACTGCTTGGGAGGACCCTCATGAAAAAAGATAAAAAGTTTTAGCAGTATATCCGGTTTCCTCCCCACCCGCCATTAAAAAAATCACCTTTCCCAGCCCAGCTCACAGCTAGGGCACCCTGGAACTCCAGGGAACTCCAACGAACTCCAGCGGATATGAGAACATAGGGACGGCTTGTTGGTGAGATCGTCAACCCTCCACCACTACATACACACACACACACACACACACACACACACACACACAGTGGATATGAGAACCATACGGGCAGCTTGCTCGTGAGATCATCAACCCTCCACCACTACACACACACACACACACACACACACACACACACACACACACGTGTGCGCGCTCTCTCCTGGTACAGTTCCTCTGCCTCTGTTCAGGAACTGGTGAGAACGTGGGGCTAGGAGCTCTGCCCATCATTCATTCAGTGTGTGTGTGCAGGGGAAGCATCTACCAGGCATCAACACTAGGAGGCTGCTTTGTTAAGAGCAGTTCAGACCATGCCCTGACCAATACATGTGCGTTTCACGTACTGAGACCGTGTGAGGCCCGGCAGAGCAGGTGAGGTTTACTTGGGAACCATCCCAATTCCCCAGTCCATGCAGGTCGGCGATGGAGGCAGAGCTGGCAGCTCTGCAGCTCTGGGCACTGACCTCCGGGTCTCGCTCCCGTGGCAGACTGGGCTATGGGAGTGAGAAGGCATCACCATTAAGTCTTCACACCCCTTCCTGCTTCCCACCCGTGGTCCCAGAATCCTCCTGATCAGAGCATCCAAGAGGACGGGACCAATTGGGGCGGGCGCTCGAGAAAGCCCAGAGTAACCCTCATGCTAAGCCACGCACGCACACAGCCTCACCCAGCTCACCCAGCTCACCTGAGCCCATGAAGCCTGCGAAGACCCCCACCCCCCCCAACCCCCAGTCCTTGGCTACAAAATTGAGCTTCATGTGGTGACTCAAGGTCTGCCAATTTCCTCTCAACCTGCAAACTCCTGGGGCTCGTCCTAGCTCAATGTAGAGATAGGAATTCTTTCAGGGTCAGAATCTCTGAGGCCAGGCAGCCAGTCTGCATGTGCCTCACTTGGAAAAACTCAGTTTCCTAGAGACACGTTAACTCCATCCATGACAAAAAAGGAAATAAATGCTGGATAGGTTATTTTATACACAACTTTAATTTTGAAGAGAACGCCCCCAAATCATGGCTTCCAGAAGTCTATAGAAAGACGCAATCAGCATGAGTCCTGTTAAGGCTCAGGACTGGTGACTGCCATTACTCTGGTTCTCTCTCCTTTCCCTCTATCCACCCACCAATCCACCAACCTATCCAACCAACCACCATCCACCCATGCATCCCTCCACTCAGCACCCATCCATCAATCAATCCACCTACCCATCCAACCAACCAGCTACCCATTTGTCCATCCATCCATTCGTCTACTCAGCACCCATCCATCCATCCATCCATCCGTCCGTCCACCTACCCATCCAACCAATGATCCATCCATGCACCCATCTATCCACTCATCACCCATCCATTGATCGATCCACCTACCCATCCACCCATCCATCTATTTATCCATGCATCAATCCATCCATCCAGTTTACCCATCTGTCCATCTAAGCATTCATCCACCCATCTGTCCATCTACCCATTCATCCATCTATCCACCCAGGTTTTATCAAACACGCACTCATTACCATCTGTCCAGTTTACCCATCTGTCCACCCAAGCATTCATCCATCCATCCATCCATCCATCCATCCATCCATCTATCCACTCAGGCTTTATCAAACACCCACTCATTACCATCCATTCACCCAACCATCCATCCATCCATGCACCCAACCTTTACCAAGCATCTACTCATTACAAGGTCCTGTGCCAGGTACAGAGTACAGAAAAGGACCAATAACAGTTCCCCACTTGAAGGATCCCAGGGGCTGGTGGGAGTGGAGCTGAATCACTGTCATGGGGCCCCTCTGCAGCAGGGACAGAACGGGCAGGTGTGGGGCTCAGCACAGGAGCAGTGACGTTCTCCCTGGGTGGATGGGGTGGCACATTCCAGAGAAAAGGAGCAGCAGGAAGGGATTCCTGAGGCACAGAACGGGCGGCAGGCGGGACAGGGAGGCTATGAAGGCTTTCCAGAGAGAGGAAACAACAGCTCCAGCTAAGGGTCAGAGAAGTGAAACCCTGTGGGTGCGGTGAGGGGCTGGGGGTGTGCCCGGAGGTGAGGTGGGGTGAGCGGTGGTTGCACACCCAACAGGAATGTTTGGAATGAAGACATGTCCCGGGGGTAAGCTGAGAGGGAGTAAACATTCCTGTGGCTGGCGGTAACTAAGAAACCTCCAACCTTTTCTGGCTCAGTGGAGATTTTCTGGTAAAAAACAGCCAAGATCCACTGCTAAGACCACCCAAAGCTCCAGTCCAGGTAGGCGACTCTCCCAAACCTCAGGACAGTCAAGTCTGCAGTCTATTTCTTCTTTTTTTTTTCTGCTCAGGATGTCACAAATGTTTTATTCCTAGACACCAAATGGAAAGTACCCTATGCCTTTCAAAGGGTGATTACATAGACCATTAGGAAGGTCATACAGTGGCTTTCATTATTTTTTTTCTTTTTGGGTTACACCCGGTGGTGCACAGGGGTCACTCCTGGCTCTGCACTCAGGAATTATCCCTGGCGGTGCTCAGGGGACCATATGGGATGCTGGGAATCGAACCCGGGTCGGCCGCGTGCAAGGCAAATGCCCTACCCGCTGTGCTATCACTCCAGTCCCAGCTTTCATTCTTAAAAAATAAAAAATATCTAGCTAGAAAGCCACAACAGACCATGGATAAATATTAAATATACAAAACTGAAAGAAAATGGGCCAAAGAGAGAGAGACAGAGACAGAGACAGAGGCAGACAGAGATGGACAGAAAGAGACAGAGCACAGTGGGCAGGGCACTTGTCTTGCATGCAGCTTACCACAGTTGAATCCTGGAACCCCATATGGTTCTCCAAGCCCCACCAAGAGTGATCCCTGAGCACAGAGGCAGGAGTCGGCCCTGAGAATCACCAGCCCCCTAACAAAAAAGTGAGAGAAGGTCCAGGGGTGCCAGGGAGAGAGGGGAGGCTCATCTGAGGACTGGAGACATACGGGCAGTGAAATGCTCCTTTCTCGCTTCCAGCGAAGGGAGGCTCCTGCTCATGTCCCTTTGGGGCCCCCCTGAAGCGCCTCTCCTACATTCTTGGTAGGGTTCAGGGGAACAGGTGGGGTGCAAGGGGTCAAAAGCAGGTTGGCTGTGTGTAAGGCAAGTCCCCTATGTGACGGGTCTCAGGTTCTGATTACTGGTCACAGCCGTCACTCTATTCAGCCCCCTCCGAGCCCAGAGACGGCCTTTCTCCGACTAGAGAGCTGGCGCCTGGCCCCTCCCTAGCCACTCCCTCTGACTCTGGGCCTCCGGGGTGTGTATGTGGGGGTGGGGGGTGACAGATACCAGAGTGGGTCAGAGTTCAGCTTTCTCGCCTGTGCCGGGGAGAACAGGGGTCCCTGCTCCCCTGAGAGAGGCAGAGAGGGAAGGCACCGCCCTCCGCAGGCCCAGATACCCAGGTTCCCTGCCAGCCTCCGTGCCTGGCTTCGGGGCAAGCCAGGACCCCACCATACGGTCTCTGGCTCAGGGGAAGGAGGAGCAGCGCAGCCCCTGACGAGTCCATCGGGGGACTCCTGAGCAGTCCTGGAAGGGCTAAGGGGTTGGGGGTGAGTGGCGTGAAGGAGCAGGAAAGCCCCTGCAGCTCTGGGGCCACACGTCACCCCAGCCCACACATGTGCCCCGGGCGCTGGATGCCTTGTTTACTGTGGTACCCTGCACAGCAGCTGGCAGGGTCTGAGATACAGGCCGGAGTGACACTGCAAAAGTTCAAGTGCCTGTACGCAGTCACGGCCCTTGCTCCAATCCCCGCATCCCAGGAGGGAGATTCTGAGCGCAGGATCAAACCCTGAGCACCACTCAGTATGGCCACAAAGCAAAAAAACAATTAGAGAGGTTTTTTTTTTTTGTTGGGGTTGGGGAAGAGGAGGGTGTCACACCTGGCGATGCTCAGGGCTTATTCCTGGCTCTGGGCTCAGGAATCACTCCTGGTAGACTCGGAGGACCAGATGGGATGCTGGAGATTGAACCTGGGCCAGTTGCATGCAAGGAAGGTATCTGATCCACTGTAAAACAACAGAACAATTAGAGCTTTTTTTGGGGGGGGGGGAGGGAGGAAGGGTGTCACACCTGGCAGTACACAGGGCTTATTCCTGGCTTTGTGCTCAGGAATCACTCCTGGTAGACTCGGGGGACCAGATGGGATGCTGGAGATTGAACCCCAGTCCACTGCGTGCAAGGTAAGTATCTGACCCACTACAAAACAAAAAAATCATTCGAGAGACTTTTTTTGGGGGGAGGGGGGAGGTGAGGGGAGTGTCACACCTGGCGATGCTCAGAGTTTAGACACCTTTTTTTTTGGGTGGGGTGGGGGGGATGGTTCCACACCTGGCGGTGCTCAGGGCTTATTCCTGGCTCTGTGCTCAGGAATCACTCCTGCTCGACTCGGGGGACCAGATGGGATGCTGGAGATTGAATCTGGGTCAGCCGCATGCAAGATAAGTATGTGACCCGCCGTACTAGGGCTTCGACCCCTTAGAGATAAAATTAAAAGAAAAACTGTTGAAGGTACCACAGTGGCACTTGCTACCTGAGCCTAAAAAAGCCCCCTCAGCCCACATCCCCCTGCGGCCCGGGGTGGAGAGATGTGCCTTCCCACGAAAGAGACTGGGGGGTGGGGGAGCATTTGTGGCCAGGGAAGCTGAGGACCTGGGCGGAGGGTCTGGGGGAGAACCGCTCTCTGGCCATCGCCCCAGACCTTGTGGCTGCCTCTCCCCACCCTCCGGGTTCTGGGGCAAGAGGCACTTCCCCTCTTTGGAGGTAAAACCGGCAGATCTGGGGTTCCCCTTGCTAGCGGGAAAGGAAGGCCTGGCCACTGCCCATCACTGTGCCGCCACTTCCCAGAAGGATGGGGAACAGGTGCAGTGAGAGCTGAACTGGGGTCCTTACCTGCCGGGCGCCAGGACGCCAGACCCAGTCTCTGCAGTGCCTGCGGGTTCAATGGCACAGAGAGCGGGAACGGAGGCTGACAGCTCCGAGGAACTGAGCGAGGGTCGGGAACAGGTTGGGTGGAGGACGGCTCTCAGGGCAGGAGCCCCAGGCTGTCCCGGGCATGGCCTGCTCCCCCGGCTCCCCGCAGGAGCAGCCACTTCAGGAGGAACCCTGAGAACTGCTGGGTGTGGCCCCCAAACCGGTAATGGGGCAACTGCAGCCTCATGGGAAAGGGGACTGTACCAGCTCGTCCTTCACGCCCTACTGAGGTCATGAGTTGCCCCTCACGAGCGGCTCTCTGGCACCGCCAAAACACCAGACGTACAGAAACCAATTGCGTAATTATCTGGCTCTATGCAGAAATCCAAAATCCCATGCGACATTATATGATTCTTATAACCAGCTATAGGAAACAAAGTATTTCACAATGCCTTTTCAGCAACAATTCTTATGGGGGGGGGAATTCTAAACAATAATGGTGCATCTTTTGTCAAAATAATGAATGTAATCAATGTAGAGATTAGTTAAGTGGAAATCATCTGCTTCACAGGCATTGGGAGGGTTGGGAGGGGGGATATATTGGGGTTCTTGGTGGTGAAAAACGAATACTGGTGAAGGGAGAGGTGTTTGATCATTGTATGACTGAGACTTAAACCTGAAGGCTTAGTAACTTTTCCCACAGTGATTCAATAAATAAATATAAGAAGAAAAATAAATAAAACTATAAAAAAAAAAGAGAATAATCCCTGAGAATCACCGGTGTGAACTCCAAAGGTCTGAGCAACTTCCTGCTGGCATTTTCACTCTGACTGCACAGGAGGTATACTGATTGTGGGCGGAAAGGCCCACCCGCCAAAGCTCGACCTCCTTTCCTGCAGAGGGGTGAGCCTTCCTGGGCTGTGCAGCCCTCCGCGCGAGCCTCCATGGACTCGGGTCCCCCAGGGCCCCTGCCGCTGCAGCCGACAGACCACAAGGCCAGTGCAGAGAGGGAGGCCTGTGTGCATTTCCTAGAGAGCAGGGAAGAGGCAGTGAAAGCAGAAGCTCCTACTTTCCCTTGCTGCACCCGCTCGGGCTCGAGGTGCAGGCGGACCTCCAGGCTGGCGGGCTCAGGACAGGGGCACAGAGCTGACGGAGGAAGGGAGAGGGGCTGGTGGGCTGCTATGTGGCGCGGAGGGGCGTTCCCGTGCAGGAATCATCCACCCGGCTGAGGGGGTGCCCCGTGCCTTCCTTGTCTCTGCCACCAGGCATCATAATCCGAGCCCGAGACGGGGGCAGTGCCTGCACACACCGCCGGCCCTCGAGGAAGACCTGGCAGGTAACACAAGGGTCTGAGAATGGATGAACGCACTTCTCCCGCTGGACACCCAGCTCCCCGGACCCGTCGGCAATGAGGTCTCAGTTCCGCCAGCACCTGTGTAGGGCCAAGAAAGGCAGAGAGAGGAACCGCAGGCAGAGAGAGCATCTTTCTGGACGAAACACAGCAGAAAGGAAAAGAAAATGGGGGGGGGGGCGCGGGGAATGAGAGTAATATTCAGAAACACTCATGCCTCCACGCCCCCTGCCCTGGGCACTGTGGCCAGGAAGCAAAGCGGAAAGCCGGGCTGGCAGCTCAGACACAAGCCTTCTCAGGAGCAGAGAGGAGCCCAGGCCTCCCCCTGGGTTCCTGAATAGGCCTCTGGGCTCCCATCTGCCACTGGCCTTGCTCACCACCAGGACCACAGGGGCCCCGCACTCAGCCTGATGCCGGCCCTCCAGACAGCTGCAGCCAGTTACCAGATGCCAAATCAGAGAGTGACCCCACCTGCTGCCCAGATGGCCCCCAGGACTCTGGACCCTGACACACACACACACACACACACACACACACACACACACACCCCAAATCCAGTCATATGAGTGAGGAGTCACGGCAGGCCTGGCCCTGCAGGAGGGTTCCAGGAGACACGGCCCAAAGGAGGTCTTTCAGACACCCAGTCCATAGTGGCTTTTTGTCACCTGAGTGATGGGCATGTCCCACATTATCACTGACGGAACTGCATATCCTCTTTGTGTTTTGTTTTGGGGTGATATCTGCCGTGCTCAGAGGTGACTCCCACCTCTGCTCAGAAATCACTCCTGGATGTGCTCAGGGGACCACATGGGATGCCACATGCCAGGCAACTGCCCTACTTGTTTTACTATAGCTCTGGCCCCCAAGATTTTTTTTTTTTTGAGCCACAGCTAGCTGTGCTCAGGGTTCTGTGCTCAGGAATCATTCCTTGCTGTGCTCAGGGGACCATACCAGGGATCGAACCTGATCAGCTGCGTGCAGCTACTTTCTGTACTACTGCATGGGTCCCAGAGATTCTTGTTTGTGTTTTTGAACTATACCTGGTGGTGCTCAGGATGTACTTCTGGCTCTGTGCTCAGGGGTAACTCCTGGTGGGATCAGGGGACCATATGGGGTGCTGGGGATGGAACCTGGATTGGCCATGTGCGGGGTACGTGCCCTACTCACTATGCTATCACTCAGGCCCCTGAGCTGTGTTTTTCAAGCCCACCCACCGTGGTTCAGCTTCTCACGCCCGGGTGAGTGCCCTGGAGCCCGACTCACCTTCTGGGACTCTAACTCCTGGGTGAGCGTCACCACCTGCTGCTCCAGGGCCAAGACCTTCTCCTGGGCTGCCCGGCTCCGCGGGAGCCCTTCTGGCAAGAAGGGGAAGGTGTTGTTCTGGCGCTTGGCTTTCAGCCGGAGGCTGGCGGTCAGCGAGGCCTTGGGGGGAGGCTTTGCAGGCTCCGCTGGTTCCTTCCCTGCTCGGGAAGAGAAACGTGGAGGTTATGACGGAGGACGATGACGACGAGGCGTCCTTCGCAACCTCAGGGAGCAGCTGGGCAGCTCGGTAAAACGCGGACTGGAGTCGGGGAGGACCGGTGTGTGTGTGTGTGTGTGTGTGTGTGCGCGCGCGCTTGTGTGTGTGTGTGTGTGTGTTCCCCCAGAACCCTTTGCACAACACAGTGTGGAGGAAGATAATCCGAGAACCGCTGGGCTTGACAAGCACCAGTGAGACCGCGTCCGTGCCACTCGGCCCAGCCTGTGCTTCATGCTTCAGCTGCCCCCTCCACCTGACCCCGCTTGGCCTGGCCCTTCTCCTCCAGACTCGGCCACAGCACACCCCAGCCGGCCGCCTACTTGGGCACCACTCCTGGTTTCTGACCTCAAACCCCACCCTCTGGGAGTGGAATTCCACGTCACACCTTCATCAGTCCGTTTCACAGATTTTAATTTGGGGGAGGGGGGCACCACACTGGCGATGCTCAGGGGTTTTACTCCTGGCTCTGCATTCAGGGGACCATCTGGGACGTGGGGGATCAAGCCAGGCTGGCAGCCCTACCTGGTGTACGATCTCCCTGTGAGCTGCGCGTTTTAGGGTGTAGATCAGGCCTACCCACAGGGGGATGGCAGGCTCGCACTGCCCGCCGTCGGGAGGGAAGTGGGGGCGAGGAACGTGGAAAGGTGGATGGGAGTGGGGTGCAGGGCTTCTTTTGATTAGGGGCTGGCGGGGGGACTATGAAAGTGTCCTGAACTTGCTGGTGGTGATGGAAGAAATCACTGGGAACAGGCAGAAATTACTGGCCAGGACCCCCATATGGGGGCACTATCTGGAGCCTGGCTCTGACATGGAACGAGGGGAGTCACCGCTCAATTCCCCACTTGCCCGTGACTGTGGGCGTTCCTGATTCGAGAGACCACGGGTGTCCTGGGGGATGCCTGACTCCCAGGACTGGCTCCTCGCATCTCTGGGTGGACAGACGTTCTGAGGGCCACCGTGGCCGCTTCTAAGATGCCCAGTGCCCTGGTGGTGTGCAGCCCCTGGTGACAGGAGGAAGGAAGGAGGTACACACCTGGAGGGGCACTACTCTGCCTCTCCAGGCGGACCTGATGGTAATTATCCCAGAAATACTTTGGCCTTGTAAATAAATTTGGGAAAAAAAAAGGAAGAGAGAAACAGTGGGCGATTATTTCCTTCAAAGTAATAATGAAAGTAGCCGCAGCAGCAGCAGGCAGAGCACTCAGGGCCACATGCCAGCTCCATGCCAGGGCCCGAGTACAATCCCTGGCATCACAGGATCACTCCAAGCACCGCCTGGGGTGGTCCAAGTGGCCCAAGTAGTGCCACATTGCTGGGTCCAAGCAGCAAAATGTCTGATCCAGTTGGCTGAGTGACACCAGAACATTTCCTGAGCCCCCTGAGCACTGCGTGGAAGACCGCCACCAAAAAAGCCAAACCAAAAACCCAAACAACAAAAAATATTCAAATCCGGAGAGATAGAAAAGCAGGTAGGGCATTCACCATGCATGCAGCTGACGTGGGTTCAATCCCCGGCATCCCATACGGCTCCCTGGGTACCACCAGGAGTAATTCCTGAGTCCAGAGCCAGGAGTTACCCCTGAGCATCGCTGGAAGTGGCCCCAAAACCCTTCCCCCCAAAGACACTCCCCCCATAGTCCAATTCAAACCCAAGAGAACCGCACTACGAGTCCCAGTTTCTAAGTGTCCCCGTTTCCGAGCAGGAGATGAGGGGTCCCCAAGACAACGGGTCACGTGGCACAGACTGCAAACAATGTGCTTGGAACACGAGAAGGAACCGACGCCGGCTCAGCTCTGCTGAGCACGTGGCCGTTGACAGTTCCATCTGGGACACAGACTTGCCATGTGGCTTGCCTCGTGGGGGAAGGCCTAGAGGGAGGACGGAGGCTAGAGGTGGACAGAGGCTCACCTGGGGCTCCAGGGTCAGACGCCAGAGGCTGCGACTCCCTCTGGGGCTCTCCACTGGGGGCAATCTCTCCTCCGGGAAGTCCAGGGCCTGCTCCTTGGGCTTGCCTGTTGCCCCGGAAGTTGGACACTGTGTTTCTGAAAGGAAAACAGAGGTGTAAGGCAGACACCGCCCCCCCCCCCCCCCGACCCTGCTAGTGTGGGAGGGGAGAGGCACCCGGGTCACACCCCACCCTTTTGGGCCAGACTCTGGTACCTGCGCCCATCCCGATTCCTTGTGCCCTTTTGGTCATCCTTCCAGTCCACCTGTCACCGTCCCCCAACCATGAGATGTTGCTTAGAGGGGCTTGGTGTGGGGCCCCTTTGTCCCTGGTTGGCCGCTCGGGCTCTTCAGCTAAGGGCCAGTTCGAGGAAGGCGCATACGCAGTACACATGCAGACAGAGGTATCCGGCTGCCCTTCTGACTGATAAACCCACAGAGCCTGCATTGGTGCCCAGAACCCAAAGGGCACGGCTTATGGTCAGGTTTCATAACCACCTGGCTCAAAACACACCATCAGCTCCCCGCTTCCTCCGGGAGAGTCTTTTGAGAATGTGTCTTGTGCCTCTCCCTGGTTTTCTGTTCCTGTGCGGGAGTGTTCCTCCCAGAGCCTTGGTGGACCACCCCTCGCAGAACCCTAAGAGCTGACCGCACTTCAGGTCCAGATCATCCTTTGGTGAGACCTGTCTGGGACAGGTCCATCTGCTGTTTCTTTTTTCTTTTTCTTTTTCTCTTTTTGGTTCATACCCAGCGATGCTCAGGGGCTACTCCTGGCTCTGCACTCAGGAATTACTCCTGGCGGTGCTCGGAGGACCATATGGGATGTCAGGGATCAAACCCAGGCAGGTTGGCCTCATGCAAGGCAAACGCCCTACCTGCTGTACTATCGCTCCGGTCCCTGCCATTCCTTTTTGAGCTTGGCACTGACCTCCTGGTAGGCTCCCTGGCACCCAGAGCACAAGCAAGCCTGGCAGAGGCCCACACAGCCCAGAGGAATGCACGGGGTTGGGGGAGAAGACAGTTCAGTTAGGCCTATTTTTCCTATGCAAAGGGGCAGGAAGCAGACCGATTCTAGGGGTGGGTCAGGGTGAGAGCTCTGTAGGGCAGAGCACATGCTTTGCACGCAAGAGCAGTAGGCCCGACACCCGCACCCCAGTGCCATCTTTACAGCACACAGCCACAAAGAAGAAAAACTGCTGGGAGGCTCCACAGCTCCTGGAGAATGCTCCAGGTCCCAAACAGAGCCGAGATCACCGGGAAGTCCCAGATGGGGTAGGTGCCGCATCCCGCCTTCTCTAGATGGAACCCCGGTGACCATGAGCCTCTACAAGCATAGCTCCGGCATGCGGGAACCAGGACTTTTATTCCAAACCGCGCCGCGCGACATCTCCTTATATACAAAGTGATCAATGGAAAGTAAATCATCCAACGTTTCTCCCTGAAAATCTCGCTTAACTCTTTTACAAACCACAACACCCAATAGGAGAGAGAGAACAAAAGGGAATGCCCTGCCACAGAGACAGGGTGGGATGGGGGTGGGGGGTGGGAGGGATACTGGAATCCGTGGTGGTGGGAAATGGTCACTGGTGGAGGGATGGGTATTCAAAATAAAAAAATAAATTAAAAAAAAAAAGAGTAGTAGGCCCGAAGACTTATTTTTCAGATGAAATCTGTCTTTGAGTAAACTTGGGTCCAGACGGGAGAAGAATGAGTTTCCTTGATGCCATACAGCTGACTGGTGGAGGAGGAAAAAAAAACGAATCAATCAGTTCATGAAACAAAGAGAACGCAGCGCTTCCGGCACCTAGTGCTGAAACTGGCCGCTAAACCCCCTGAGAAACGCCAATCTGGTGCCCGGATGCCCTGGGCTCGCCACTTCCTCTTCCTGGTTCGTACCTTCCCTGTTGGAAAAAGAGCATCTGCAGTTCTCACTAAAAAGGGGAACGGGGTTCGCATGGGTCAGGCACGGCCTGCTGAGGAGCACTTGGTGCTGAGCCCCACAAGAGTGCGTGGCTCTCTCAAGCTTGGGGTGTCACGAGTCAGGCAGGGCACAGCCCTCATGCCAGAGGCACCGGCTGGGTGGGGTGCCAGTCTCTGCTGCCCACACTTCCCCCAGTCCAAGAGCTGTGGCTGATTGTCGCGCCCAGGGCGTGGGTCCGCCTTTAGGGTGTCAAAGGGCCTGCTCCTCGGGGAAGGAGTTCACTCAGGACCGGGGCCCAAACACTCTTGGGAGAGGCCCCTCCGGGTCTGCATTTATCTACACTGCTTCGGGCGGTGCACAGGCCACTTTCCGGAACTGACAGTGCTAGTCTGATGGCCTGGAGGCCGTGGCCATCGTGGGGGGTGGGGGTGGGGGTGAGGAGGGGAAGCATGGTGAGACTTGGTTTTGTTTTGTTTCTTTTTGGGTCACCCCTGGCTCTGCACTCAGGAGTTATTCCTGGTGGTTCTTGGGGGACCCTATGGGATGGCAGGGATTGGACCCAGGTCAACTGCGTGCAAGGTAAATGCCCTCCCTTGCTGTCGTATCGCTCAAGCCCCGCATGGCTAGACTTGGAAGGACAGCCACGGACAAGACTTTCACCATCTCTGTTTTTTGGGGGACCAGAGGAGAAAGGTTTAGGGCATGGTGTTAGGGGGCCTATTCCCGGCTCTGTGCTCAGGAGTGACCCCTGGTGGTGCTGCGGGGGAGTGGGGGGTGGACACCACGAAGGCAGTAGCCGGAACTGAACTGGGGCTGGGCGCATGCCAGGCAAGTGCCCTCGGCCCTGTCCCATCCCTCTGGCCCAAGCACCCGTCTGTGTCTGAGCGAGGGTCTTTCCTCTGTGCTGGGGATGACGAGCTGGGGCACGACCACGGCTGGGCCTTCCCTGGGCCCACATTTGACTCACTGAACTCTTCCAACAGCCCCAGGTTATAGCCCACAACCTTCCCATGGGTAAGGTCTCATGATGAGCCTGCCACGTGACTCTGGGAATCACCAACGCCACTGGCGAGTGGCAGGGCTGGCCTGGCACTTGGGCATCAGACCAGACAACCCAGTAAGAGTGCGACCCCTCCCACCCCCCCAGCTAGCACTCCACAGTCCCTTCTGCTACATGTGACTCGGACTCACGGCCAACCCCAAAGCAAGCTCCAAGCCCAGCGGGACAAGTGGCCCTTGCAGGGGACCATGGCAGGTTCCTGGGCGCCTGTCCTGGGCTCTGAGCTGCCCCGGACACTTCTTCGTGCCATTTCTTCCAACTTCCTGTAGCTTATTACAAAGTGTCCGGGGATGTACCTGTCTGATTTGCTGAAACTTCCTTCCTTTCTTGGTCTCGGCACGTCCTCACTTCCACTTCTGCTCGCGGGGGACCTTCGCACACACAGACGGGGCTCAGGGTCAGGGCTCTCAGCTTTGGGGCAATGCCCCGAATACAACTGCGGTGGCTGCCCTTCCAGAGCACCCACCCCCAGCAGGAGCCTCCAGCTCCACTGAAGAGAAGGTCCCCTGTAGGGTGCCAGCCTCCACCGTCTGCTCTGAGGTCTGTGGCCTCGGGGAGGGGCTCATAGCCCTCAAGTCTGTCTTTCTCTCCAGCTCAGCTCTCTCCCCTGGGCACCAAGTCCCCCCTGTGCTGTGGGCAGGGGTGTTCCCCAAACAGCAGGTGCTGGTGGGCACACAGCGTGTCCCCTTAGAAGCCTGCTTATCTGCCCTGGGGACGGCATCTCTAAGATACTGCATGACCCAGGCGTATTCGAACACTGATGTCAACCGGGAAACGCCAAACCCGAGTCGCACAGGAGACGGGTTGGGGAGGGGGTGAGGAGGTGGAGGAGTTGGGGGGGGGTGTCCTCCAAGCCACGTCTGCCCAACAGTCTCTTCTGCTTCCTGAGAGGCACCTGCTTGCCTCAAGTTCCCATGGGAAACCAACACCCACGCAAGTCAGGTCTTGAAGCTCCCTAAATCTCTTGGGCCCACTGCCCTTTTCAAAAAATAAACAAGCAAACAAACAATGACCTAGCATTGCCCCTGGAAATTTTCCTTCTTTGTTTGGGGCCAGAGTGAACTGTGTTATTGTGTTTGGCTCAGGAATCGCTCCTGGCGGGCTCAGGAGAACCTGGGGTGCCAAGGATTGAACCGGGGTTGGCTGCGTGCAAGGTTTGAGTGCCCTCCCTGCTCTACTGTCACTCAACGCTACCTTCTTAAACACACTGACCTCAGTGCGTAAACACTGGAAGTTCACCGTTTGGTATCACACTGGACAAACTGGGCCATCAGCTATGGACAATCATTCACTCAAATGCTTTGGTAGCACTGTAGCACTGTCCTCCCGTTGATCGTCGATTTGCTCGAGCGGGCCCAGTAACGTCTCCATTGTGAGACTTGTTGTTACTGTGTTTGGCATATCGAATACGTCACGGGTAGCTTGCCACGCTTTGCCATGCAGGCGAGATACTCTCGGTAGCTTGCCGGGCTCTCCAAGAGGGGCGGAGGAACCGAACATGGGTCAGTCCGGTTGGCTGTGTGCAAGGCAAATGCCCTACCCGCTCGCTCCGGCCCGTGGTTTGGTAAACAGAAAAAAACAAAACAAAACAAGTGCCATAGCGTTGGAAATTCATTGACTTGCTGATCATTTCCAAACTTTCTGTCTGTTGAAAGTAAAGTAAGATTTATTGGATAAAGCTGCCAGATGGCAGGAAATACAAATTGCCCCATTGGCGGCAGCGGCGACACGTGCAGAGAACAAACAGCAGGTGCCCTCCTGGGCGGGCTGAGCCCTGGCCAAGAAAGGGCATCAGAGCAACAGCAGCAGCAGATGGATTGCCCCGCTGGCCCTAGAGCCAGGGTCCCGGGTCACCCGCGCTGACCTCACAAGGCAAGCAGGGCCCCAGGTCCAGGTAGTGTGTCTCCTATGCCACCTTCTTATCTTCATGAAAGCCACTTCGGACAAAGCCCGGTGGGGCTGGGAGGTTGTCCACGGTATGCTATTAAACAGCAGCTGGGGCACGAGGGACATCCTCCAGGTGACAGTCTTGATGTCCTCGACATGCACAGGGACAAGTATGAAAGTGGTTTCATGTGACATTATGCTCAGGACAAGTTCCACCCACGGCTCAGGCATAGAGAAAACAGGGAGCAGAGATGCACCAAACGCGAAGGCAGCTTGTCTGGGTGCTAACACTGTGGGAAATTTAAAATGAGCTGGATACTTCATACGGCAGGTCAGGCACTGGCCTTGCACACAGCTGACCTGGGTTCAATCCTGGGCAGCCCCTGTGGTTCCTCAAGCACTTCCAGGAGTAAGCCCTGAGCACCACTGGACCCTTCCAGTCCAAAAACAACAACAACAACCACAACAACAAAATCAACAAAAATGCATCATTTCCAGATATTTCTGATTACCCAGAGAGAGCACACACGACTTTTAAAAATCAGAATGATGCACGTAGTATGTAAGAAGTAACGGCATGATGAACTGAAGAGAGAGCCCGAATCCCCTCATCAAGCCCCCGCTCTCTGCAGGTGACTCACAGCAGACCAAGGTCAGCTCCCAGGGGGGGCCACTCTCCCTGACCCCGTGCCCCGGCACTTACTGTATCTCAGTTCCCAGGTGCTTGAGGGAAATGTTCTGTAGGGTTGAGGGCAGGGCGGGAGCGGGCTGGGAGGCGGCGGCCGGACCCACCATCCCGGGGGGCGTCTTCACAGGGCACAGGAACTCCTCCAACTCAGCTTCCTCTTGCTCTGGGAAAGGAAGAGAGGCAGTTAATGGGACCGGGAAAACCCGGGAGGTCAGCCGCTTGGGGGGCTGCCAAGCAAGTCTGCTCCACATGTCACTTAGAAAAGAGATGAGCTTTTCACTGAACCTTCTGCAACCCGTAAAATGATGTGCTTTGCTGCTACAGACTTCCCTGGGAATCTGTCTATTCCTCTAAAATATGCTGGGAGAGGGGAGACAGTATGTGTGCCTGAGCAGGGCTTGATCCCCAGCCCTCCAGATGCTTTCCCAGCATCTTCAGAGAACTACTGGAGCACGGCTGGAGTGGCCTCGGCAGTCCCCTGGCACCTCTGGGCTGGAACAACATTGCATCCTTGAGCCCTGGCATTAAACTGGCTGAACTGGCTGAGAACTCCCAGGGAGTAGCCCTGGGAATTTCGAAGCATCACTTGAAAGTCCACCGTCCTGGGTTGGACGATAGTACAGTGGGGAGGGTGTTTGCCTTGCACGCGGCCAAGCCAGGCTCAATCCCCGGCATCCCAAAAATGGTCCCCTGAGCACTGCTCTGAGTGCAGAGCCAGGAGTAACCCCTGTGCATCACCAGGTGTGACCCTAAAAGTAAAAAAAAAAATGTCCACTGTCCCTCACAAAAAAAAAAAGGAAAGAAAGCAAAAAAGAAAGAATAGACTTTTGGGCTAAAGAGATAGTACAGGGGGTAAGGTACTTGCCTTGCAAGTGCCCGACCCAGTTCAATCTTGGGCACCCCATATGGTCCCCTGAATACCACCAGGAGTGATTCCAGAGTGAAGAGTCAGGAGTAAGTCTTGAGTACTGTTGGGTGTGCCCGACCCCAACCCCCCTGCCAAAAAAAAAAAATGAAGGAAGCAAGAAAATACTAATATACTTTGCAAACAATCTGTTTGCTAATTCCTGATAGGTGCTTTCATACCTGGCAGTGAGCAGACCAGTGCCTGGTGATACCCAGTCATTTTCTTAGCACCTCCCTTCAATTTACTTTCACCAAATATACCTTGGCCTGAAAGTTTCCAGGTGGAGCCTGAGAAAGTGAGGGGATAATCAAAGGTACGGGAAGCTCCAGCTTAAAGGAGCAAGGAAGGAGGATGTATTCTGGTGGTAGAACCGGTTGACCACAAGCAAAATATGAAGCTCACACCTTTTTCAAATGCCATGCACAAAAGTCAACCAAAATGGATTAAAGACCCCGATATGTCAGAATCCATAAAGAGCATAAAGGAAAATATAGGCAGAATTCCCCACGATACTGAAGCTTGAGGCACCTTTAAGGATTCGACACTATCAGTCAAGCAAGGAGAAGCAACAATGCACACATGGAACTTCATTAAATTAAGATGCTTTTGATCTTGAAAGAAATGATGGATAGAATAAAGAGACACCCCATAGACTAGGAGAACTTATCTGCCCACCACTTGTCTGATCAAGGGGTAATGCCCAAGACATATAAAGCACTGGGACAACTTCACATGAAGAAACCTCCAGGATACGCCATGAAGAAACCCTGGACCCCTTGCCAGACTGTTTCATTCAGGGCAACCCTGGGGGGGGGAGCGGGTGAGGGTCATCCCGGCCCCAACGGAGCCAGTCCTGGAAGTGGAAAACCTCCAGAAGTCAACTGCCGCCGTGCTCACGGCCACTCTCCACACGCTGGGACAAGCCTCAGCTGTAAGCGAGTGTATTCCTGGACTGTCACAAATGTGGCCGCGTGACATCTCATATTTTACACCATCAATATACCAAGAGTAGCACACCACATTTGGTTGGGTTTAAAGTAGAAGGCAACCAATCGTAGGGGGACATGTATTTATACATATATATATATTTGTATTTGTATTTTTTCTTTGAGGAAGTTTCTATTCACCACTTCTCCCCAATTCTTGGATTTTTAAAATGTTATTTTTATAAAGTTGTTCACAATATTTGATAATATTTAATATTCAACACCAATCCCACCACCATTACACCTTCCCACCACAAATTTCTATCCCAAACCCCAGACCCTGCCCCAAAGCGTACCAAAAATAATTTATTTTGTATTGTTTGCTATGAATAATCTGCTAAAAATGAGACAGAAAAGGTTTCTTAGAGGAAAGTGAGGATTATTGTATTTCACCCAGAAGCCATTAAGCCCTTCTATAAAGATGAGTAACAGATTGTTAAAGGTTGAGCCTTGGGGCTGGAGTGATAGCACAGCAGTGGGGCTTGCCTTGCCCGTGGCAGCCTGGGTTTGATTCCCAGCATCCCAAATGGTCCTCTGAGCACCGCCAGGGGTGATTCCTGAGTGCAGAGCCAGGAATAACCCTTGAGCATCTCTGGGTGTGACCCAAAAAGCAAAAAGCAAAAAGAAGAAATACAAATGGCCAAAAGGCACATGGAAAATACGCTCTGTATCACTAATCATCAGGGAGATGCCAATCAAAACAACGAGACATCACCTCAAACCACAAAGTCTGACACAGCTCAGGAAGAACTGCCACCACCAGTGTTGGCAAGGATGTGGGGGAAAGGGGACCTTTGGGCCCTGGACTCACTTCCGTCAAAGGACCTTCCCTCCAGACTCTGCGTCAATTTAAAAATAAATGGATTGGGAGCAGAAGCGGGGAGGGTGTTTGCCTTGCATGCACCCGACCTGGGCTCGCTCCCCAGCACCCCAACTGATTCCCTGTGCACTGCCAAGAGTAGATCCCTGAGCACAGAGCCAGGAGTACCACTGGAGGTGGCCTCAAAACCAAAATAAATAAATAGTTTTCTTTCTCCTCTCCCCTTTCTTGGAGGGGGGAGGGTGGCCTCCAGGGGCCTCCAGGTTCCTCCCAGCCAGTCTCCACCCAGTAGCCACAAGAGGCCAGGGGACATGGTGCTGCCTGGTCGGGCAGTGATGGGGATCACCCGGCCACCCTAGTCATACCTGGTGGGTACCTGGGGATCCTTAAGTGGCCTGGGATTGACCTTGGGTTGGCCATATACAAGGCAGGTCCCACCCCTGAACCACCTCTCCGGCTCCTTCGTCATGAGTTGTTTTGGGGCCACACTGCCTTGCTCGAGGATGACTTTGGGCTTGGTGCTCTACGGAGTTGTGCCAGGTGGCGCTCGGGAGGCCATGCGGTGCCAGGGAGTGGAGTCTGGCCTCCCTTATGCAGAGCCTACGTTCAGCCTGCTGGGCTCTCTCTGGTCCTCTGTATCAATCCCTTTCATTCCCGCTCCCTTAGTTCAGAACAAACAAAAGATGAACAATTTTTCTAAGGTTTGGAACCTCAAACCTCCCTAACTTCCCTAACTGCCTTATTTTCTGGAACTTCCATCGGGACATCCCAGATCTAGTGAGAACACAAAGAAGGCAACTGTGAGGGTAAACACCCCCTCAAGATTGGCTGGTTTTACCACTGAGGAAACAATGGCTCAGAGAGGGCGAGTGTTTTGGCCACGGCCACTGGATGTGGCACCCAAGAACACAAATGCGGTTCCTTTCTTCTTCACTAAAACTGTCGGGGAGAAAGAGATGTGATATATGATACTTATACATACTCATATTCACACCCACAGACACACTCCCACACATACACAGACACACACGTGCGCACACACACTTGCACGCACAGACACACACTCTCACAATCACACACATTTGTGCACTCTTACACACAGGCACACTCATACATTCTTTTTAACCATTTTATCTATTTATTTATTTGAATTTTAAATAATTAATTAATTGAATCACTGTGGGAAAAGTTACAAAGCTTTCAGGTTTAAGTCTCGGTCATGCAATTATCAAACACATTTCCCTTCACCAATATTTTTTTTTTCACCACCAAGAACCCCAATACACCCCCCCCACAACCCTCCCAATGCCTGTGAGGCAGATGAATTCTAGTTAAGACTCTATCTACTTTGATTAGATTCACTGTTTTGACAAAAGATGCACCATAATTATTTAAAGTTTACACCCCCAAATCAGACATGCTGAAAAGGCATTGTGAAATAATTTGTTTTCTACAGCTGGTTACAAGAACCAGATGAGGTCGTGCGGATTTTGGATTTTTGGATTTCTGGCATTTTACTTATTAAGGCTGGAAGTATTTCTGCTGAGAGTCAGATGATTAAGAGATTGGTTTCTGTTCTCTGGAGTCATGGCCGTGCCGGAGAGCCGCTCATGGGGGGCAACTTGTGACCTCGGTAGGGCGTGAAGGACGAGCTGGGAACGCCCCCCTTCCCAACACTCATACATTCTTACACTCACACACACACACTTGCACACACACACAATCACGCACATTTGCGCACTTGTGTGCACATACATACATACATACATACACTCACACAGAGACACACAGACACACACTCGTGCATATACACACTCATAATCACACACATTCGCACACACACACTTGTGCGCACTCCCACTCACAGGCACACTCAGGCACATACACAGATACACACTCACACACACTCAGACACACAGACTCACACACTCTCATGCAAACACACACACACACACACACGTGCGCACTATGCTCAGGGGGAACCATATGCGATGCCGGGGACTGAACCTGGGTTGGCCGTATGCAAGGCAGGCACCTGCCCGCTGTACCATCTCTCAAGCCCTTTCCCTTCCTTTTGCATTAACCTGAGCCCTGGATGCCCTGAGCACATGGCCAGCTGGCCCCTCGCTGGGGAGGCCGGGATTGGCTCTCTAACATGAGGGCAGACACTATCCCCCGACCAGGTCAGGGTGGCCTCTGTGAGCCTCAGCTCCTGCTGCCGTGACCTGGGAATCAGGGGCTCTGCCGATCTGCTGCCTGTGAATGTGGCGAAGACGGGGGCACGTTCTCAGAACCTCTTTCCAATCACGGCCACCCGCCCCCGAGACCTACCGGCTGGCCCCTTTGGGATATTCTGGGCTGGAGGCTGACGCTCCCTCCCTGCCGCCCCGCTGAGAAACACCCACCCGCTGGGTGGGAGAGTGGAAGCGTGAACAGCGAGGAACGGGCCAGAAAGCAGTGTGCCCACTCCAGGACGCTAACACTGATTAAAGTGCTCCGGGAGTTGGGGCCGACGCTGGCAACATACTATTACGACCGCTCCGCGGGCCTCCCCGTAATCTTTCTTGGCTCCCGTGGAGACTAATGTCTGGGTAAAGCAGCAAATAAAGGGGCAAGCACCTGGAAGCGGTGGAGAAGGTGGCTGGCAGATCACTCAAGGGGAGTAATGACACGCTCTTACAAGACCAGGAGTCTGTGACTCAAAATCAGACGTGAGTCAGGGGTTTGGCGGCTGGCTCGGGCCCTGCTTCCTCCCAGGAAGGGTGGGGACGGCTGCGGAGGGGCAGGGCCCGCCAGCCAGCGCGCCATGGCTCCATGCAGGAGGCCCTAGGGGGTTGCTGATCCGGGTGGGGAAGGGCTTTGGGGAGAAGTTCCAGATTTCCTGCAGCTGGCCTCGTGGTGGCCTCGCCCTGCCCCTCCTGAAGGGCCCAGCCAAGGCTATCTGACAGAGCCATAAAATTCAAGAACCAAGACAGCATTCAGTCCAGCAGAACGCTGGGGACACCCCACACCATTCCTTTGACAACGTGGCTCTCGTTTCCTGCAGGGCGCGCAGGAATCCTGCTAGGGCAAGGATTTCTGGTCACGTCTTATCTGAGTCCGACTCCAGCTACTGTGGACTCAGGCAGTGGTTTTCCAAACAGCCGGGGGTGCGGGCTTCCTGGCAGACTGGGAGCAGAGGTGTGGTGGGGACACACATGGAACGGAAGCGCAGAGCCAAAATCCAAGCCTTCTGCACAGACAACCTAACCCAGCTGGAACACCTAGAAAATTCTCCAGAGAAATTCCTGATGATGGTTAATGACCAGAATAAGGAGTGGGGATTATGGGAGGAGCAGTGTCTGTAACACACACACACACACACACACACACACACACACACACACACACACCCCCATACTTTACACTCACATTCACACTCACACACACACAAACACACACATACACATATTTTACTACACTCACACAGACACACACATTCACACACTCGCACACATACACATACTAATACACTCTCATACACACATTCACACACACTCACACACATGCACATACACACGCATGCACACACAGATACTCACACACATTCACACACGCTCGCACTCATACTCACAAACTGGCACATACACTCACACACATTCACACTCACACTCACATCTCATACACACACACACACACACACTCTCTCTCACACACACATGTACGTACAGCGACGGTGCCCTCAGGACAGACACCGTGCGCACAGAAGCACATCAGGATCTGATGAGGGCTCCTTTCCTCACTCTATCATAAAACTAATTCAGATTCATTCATTCACACATTCATTCATTCAAACAGCCAACGCGCTGGGCAGGACAACAGGGACTGAGAATACAGCCCCCCTCCCATGAGGGCAAGTGGGTGGAGATGTGACAGGATCCTTGTAATTAGAACAAGCAGCGAAAGCCCCAGGAGCCTTCCTGGAGGAGGAGACCCTGGGGCTTCTCCAGAGAGAATGAGCAGGACTGCTCCAAGCACAGAGGAGAGCAGACTCCCCTGTAGGAGAGAGGCTGTGTGTGGGGGAGGGTGGGGGGCGCAGGCAGAGAGGAGGAGGGTGGGGAAGGAGGATGAGCTGGGAGCAGTGTGTCTGAAAGGTGTGGCCGGGATTGAGGTCGTCCTGACGGAAGCTCCCTGGACCACAGAGACGCCAGGCTGGGAGCTGGGCGTGGACCGGAGCTGTTGGGGCTTTCCAGTCAACACAGGAGTCCTGTCTTGGGGCAGTGGGGCGAGGAGGGCCTGCACGGCTGACCCAGGCAGAGGAAGAGGCAAGGGTGTTTCTGCCCAGCCGCCGGCTGCCCGGAGGGCCACGGACGAGGAACGGGAACTGGGAGAAGGGTGAGGGGCAGGTGAGAGGGCAGGGGATGTGCAGAGCAGTGGGCACAGGGGCTGCAGAGGCCCTGAGCCCGGGTCCTGCCTCCACCCAGGGCTGGGACCTGCTCTTCCAGCTCCAGGCCGGGTCGTGCCGGGTGGCCCCTCTGCCACTTAGCCTAGCCACGCTGACTTCTGACCGGGCTTGGGGCGGAAGGAACGCTTCAACCACTCACCCCGGTGGGCCCGGGAGCTGGGATCGGACACTTCCCTTGTGGGTCAGGAGGGAGGTAAAGATTCCATTTGGGGTGGGTGGAGAGGGGGGGTGTACCGAGGATAAAATACACTTGAGAGATCCAATCCAGTCCTGGAAAGCATTTGTGCGGCCAGAGTGACAGTATACTGCGGGGAGGGTGTTTGCCTTGCACAGGGACAACCCGGGTTCCATCCCTGGCATCCCATATGGTCCCCTGAGCAGCGCCAGGAATAAATCCTGAGCACTGACAGGTATGGCTCCCCCCCCCCCACACACACACACAGGAAAAGCAAAGCCTTTGCATAGGAAGCCCACCCCAACCACTGCATCTCCTCCCACATCTTCCCGTGCCCCCTCTCGGCAGCCCTGGGCAAGTGTCACTCTTGACACTTCCCAGGGGTCGGCACAGCCGAAGCTGAGGTTCCCAGAGGTCCTGAAAACGGGCGGGCATCCACTGCGGAAAGCCCACAGATGCATTCGCTCCTCAGAACAATCCCAATCTGCTAAGCCCTCCTTACAGGAGGAGAAGCAAAGAGCCCCCCGAAACTCAAGGACAGGTGACCTGCCCAGGGTCCAGGGAAGGAGGGGCCAGCCCGGTGGCCTGGCCTCAGAGCTGAGGGACATCCTCAGTGACTGTCCCCGGAGCTCTGCTCTCCCTCAGCAGACAGTGCGGCCCATATGCCGCCGTGGGAGGGGGGCGGGGCACCGGGGTGCCAGAGGGGGGAGCCCTGGGTACCTAGCTGGAGGCGCAGGGCAGCGGCGCGGGCGGGAGGAGCTGGCGACGGTGGGCAGTGGTGGAACTCCCAGCGCTTCATCTGTAGCTGCTGCAGCCAATACACCATCACTTGCTTCGTGGCAGCCTGGGGAGCACACGGGTTAGTTGGTGAGGCCCCGTGCCTGCAGGGGGGCACCGGGCGGGGTGAGGGCAGGGCTGACTGGCTCCCTCCTTCTGGGGAAAACACGCTGTCTCCATCTCTCTGAGATGCTGGGACCTCCGTTTCCCCAGCAGCCCTGTGGGATGCAAATGCTCCCTCGATTGGTGGTTGTTTCAACAGGGAGGGGTCCCTGCAGAGCACCCACCTCCTCCTTGCAGAGAGAGACTTGGAGGTGCTGAGGGAAGGAGGGGGCAGACTCTGGGATCCTGATGTCACCATCTCCTTGGGTGACGTCTCGGGGAATGGGGGCAAGGGGGAAGGCCCTTCCTTTTGCTTTATTTTTTTTTTTTTTTGGTTTTTGGGTCACACCTGGCAATGCACAGGGGTTACTCCTGGTTCATGCTCTCAGGAATTACTCCTGGCAGTGCTCAGGGGACCATATGGGATGCTGAGGATCGAACCCGGGTCGGCTGCGTGCAAGGCAAATGCCCTACCACTGTGCTATCACTCCAGCCCCCAGACCCTTCCTTTTGGAGGGAGGACTAAGTTATGGATCGGGTAGGGGTCTGGCAAGCCCTAGGCACACTGGGGCAACATGGTGGCCTCCATCCCAGCATCCCAAACCAGGTCCTGCGTGATGCTGGTAGCCAGTCTCCTATGTGCCTGCCAACCATTCTCCCCTTCCATATGGACGGAATTGGGGGGGGAGGGGCTCAGCGGGCCCCAGTTCAAAACCCACTCAGGCGATAGCACAGTGGGTAGGGTGTCTGCCTTGCACACAGCTGACCCGGTTCAATCCGTGGCATCCCCTGTGGTCTGCCGAACCACGCCAGGAGTGATCCCTAAGCACAGAGCAAGGAGAAAGCCCTGAGTACCACTGTGTGCTGCCCACAAACAAACAAACTAAAAAAATCCCACATGATCCCAAACCCACTCTTGACCCCAAACCCACCCTTGAAGCCACTGGTGAATGTTCCAGGTGGGCAGGGTAGAGCAAGGCCGTGATGCTGGACCTGCCCCCACCCCCAAGCAGTGGTGGTAGAACCTGGGCTTCCCTTGAAACTTAGGGGCTTTACAAAGGGGGGCATCCACCAGGGTCAGGGGCTCCCTGTCCTGGGGTTCCTCCCATCAGCACTGACCCCGCCCCCGTGTGACTCCCTCACGTCTCCCCCTCTCACATAGCTCTGGTGTGGCTCCTGCCTCCTGGACCCCTGACTGGACCTGTGGACCCTGGCCCTGTACTCTACCCCCACCCCACACCCCTGTTCGCTGACTACAGCCAGACCAGACCAGAGAGGGGTTTTCTACCCTCCAAAGCTCAAGGCACTGCGTTGGGACCAAAATCATCTGAGTTGATTTTCCCACAGTCCGTGGGACAAAGTTCGAGTTCCCTTGCCTTGTTCCCCACAGTCCCTGACCCTGTTTCTTCCCTCCCCTTTAGCCCCGCCAATCTTTGGGGGAGCTCCTCTGCCACTTCCCTTTCCTATCTTCGCTCCCGACAATCCCTTTCTCCCCCACTGTCTGCTTTGCAGAGACCACCACCTTCATTTGTCTGACCCAGGGGGCACCTCCTCCACGAAGCCCTCTTGGGAAGCCTCCATGCAGTCCACGGAACGGGCCCGCCTGTCGCCATCCGCCTCTAATACAGACTGGGGGTGTGTCCACGGAACATTCTTCTGCAAGGTGGTCTTGGGGTCACTCTCTTGGGAGAGACTGTGCGCTGCCCGAGCACCAGGGGCAGGGCTCACAGACTTGCACTGGGGGGCCACAGGGAGCCACAGCGCTGTGTGGTGACCCTGGGAGGAGGCCGCCAGACCTCCCCAAACACCTGCCTTCCTGGGGCTGCCACGGTGGAGCCTGCCCCCAGCCTGCAGAGCGGAACTGAAGCTGTGGGCCGCAAACAGGGGGCTTGGCAGAGGAGATGGATGGAGGTGGAGATGGGGTGGCATGGGCTAGCTGACTCCTGGCATTGTTCCCCTGCTGAGGGAAGCTCTCCAAGCTCAGAGACCACATCTGTCTTTCCAACTGCCTTTATTTTAGTATATGAGTATGAGAGTATAGACAGGGCCATACCTGTCTACACTCAGGGCTTACTCCTGGCTCTGCACTCAATAATTACTCCTGGCGGTGCTCAGGAAACAAAGGGATGATGGGGATTGAGCTGGCCACTTGCAAAGCAAACACCCTACCCACTGTACCGTTACTCTGGCACACCTTTTTAACTGACTTTTTTTTTTCAGGTGTTTAAGATATTCTATTGTATGTGACTGAGAACATATGAGGGATTGAAGCAGCCATTGGGATTCAATTCTCATTACATGTGAGTGCCAAGCAGTAGACTGAATTACTGAAATATAAATCTGCTATGAGCATTAGGTTGATTTCAATAACTGGCCCATACACTATTTAACTGACTTCTGAGACACCTCCTGCCATCCTCTTGATAGGGGCATTCTGACCCGGGTTCTAACCAATGTCTGTGTTCATTCAACACACAGACATCGAGCACCTGCCAGAAGCAACGCTCAGTTCTGGGTCAGTGTGATGATCTGTAGGTGCAGAGATGCGACTGGTGCTTACACACCCTGCTTTAGCTCTCACAAACTACCGGCGTCCTTGCACATTAAGTTACTTGCCAGGACACACAGCTAATGAGTAGCTGAGAATCTAATCCAAGCCCGTCTTGTTTCAAAGCACGGTGAGGGTTTTCTCTGCTAACACATGATGGAAACAAAATCCACCCCTTTTTTTCTGCTAATGGGGATGCAGGTTTAGACATGCTTCCGTGAACAATCTAGGCTGATGGTGAAACCTTCACCTAAAGTGTCTAATCTCCCCCCATCTCTGACAGCCTTTTCCTGGGCATTCGTTCCAACTTTCCAACTGGCCGACTCACCTAGGAAAGGTTAGAACAATCTGGGGCTTGAGAGAGGATTGCAGAGCCCTTATCTGGACTGTAAAAGAAACACACACACACACACACACACACACACACACACACACACACAGAGGTAAGGTAACCAACTGCACTGTGATGGTGGGCACAACCCAAAAGCAAAAGTTTGGAGAGACAGAGAGGCTGGTACCGGATCCTAAATGTGGCCTCCTCCATCACCTTCATCGGTCTATGACTCAGTTCCCCTGATTTCCACCCCCCACCCCCCCATGAGGGTTCCTCTTCCCTGCCACTTTGCAGGCAGGCGGACGGACGTGGCCATGCGTGTGGAATGCAAAAGTCCGCGGTCACTGTGCGCGCTGCCCGTTCGGCGGGGACCGGGAGAGGAGGGGATCTCTCGCCCCTCTCACCTTGAGCGTGATGACCCGGCTGGGGGTCTTGATTTCGAACGTGCCCTCCTCGGCGTCCGCTCTGCAGTTGAAGACGGCGCCCGCGAGGTCGATGCTGTCCAGCGGGTTGGCGTCCTGCGCCGTGCGCGAGTAGGACAGGTGACCCTTCCTCTCGTCGTAGGAGAACCAGCGGGTCTTCCAGCCGCGGATGGGCCCCTTGCCGCCCAACTTGCTCAGGTAGCCGCAGAGTCTCTTGGGGGCGGCGGCGGCGTCCGGGGGCCGGGCGCAGTCGCCCACGTCCCGGGGCGGCGACCCGTGCGGGGGGCTGCCCCGCGCCGAGCCGGCGGGGTCCTCGGGCGTGGGAGCCGCGGCTGCGGACTCCTGGGCGCCCCTCTCCGCGCTCCCGTCCATCGCCGCGGTCCGCGGTCTCAGCCGGGCCCAGCCCCCGGCGGCGAGGCCCAGGTCCCTCGGGAAATGGACCGGGGCGCGGCCGGCGGCACGGCCCCCAAACCCAGATTAGGGCGTTTCTGACCACGCCCCCATCGGTGCCCAGGCCACGCCCGGACACACCCCACACCGAGTCCCGCCCACTTCCGGAGACACGCCCCTTCGGCCATCTTTGTTGAGGGCAGCGGCGGAGGTTGAGCGCCGACCTTGCCGGGAGAAGGTTGGTGTTCCCCCTCTCCCCGGCCTTAGGTTCACCTGCGGGTAGAAGACGCCCTGCCCTGAGATTTCATTCCTTTGGGAACTCGCGCAATTTACGCAGAAAGATGGTCTCTCCTCGTGTGCCTGACGGGCCGTCCGGCTTCTCCCCGCAGGTGCCTCTGACATCACTGTCGGACGGCGCATCGCGCGCCCATTGGCTGAGAGGGACGCCCGGTTCGGTGGCGTCACTTCCGGCGCCGCCTCGGCGCGCGCGGCTCCTGGTCTCTGCCTTGGGTTCTGCTGCAGGACCTCAGCGCCCCGGGCACCCTCTGTTGGCCACGACTTGCCCCTCGACTTGTGTGTTAAATACACCTTCCAAGTCACCTTCCCCGGGGCACCGGTCGCATTGCACAAGGTTCCCGGGCCTGGTTGCTGCCCTCCGGGAACTCGGTGCCATCCCGGGCTTCAGCGTCCAGCCTCGTTCGTTTCTGGCCGTGGAGTTCCTTCCCTGCCCTCCGGTGTAAGGCGGAGCCTGGCCACCTCCGGAGGGCTTCATTGTTTTGTTCTCTGTCTCTTCCCTCCCTCCACCCGTTCTCCTCGCGCCGTCCTCAAGCTCCTCCTCCTGGCACGCTTCTTTTTAAGGGGCGGTGGCTCAAGGTGTGAGAACTCCGGGGGTCCTCTGTGCATCCAGATTCTGAGTCGCCATCCGGTCCACACTGAAGCATCAGGCTCGTCATCTCTAACCCCGAAGCTGACGATTCACCCCAAACCTAAGGATGCTTACGCTTGCCTGCTGGGACCTCTGGAACTTCGCATGTGGTTTGATCCCCCACACTGTAGGGTTCCCAGAGCGCTGTGGGAGTTGATGTAGGCAGGTAGATAGGGAAAGGCCCTTGGTGATGAAACTTGAATTAACAAAGTTTCATGGAAGAAGATCCACCTTGTGGATACAGAAAACAAAGACCTGATAAGACCATCCCTAGACCCTGAAGATATGGGCCTCCTCCCCATGAAATTCCTCTTTTTCGAAAATCTTCGAACCTCCCTTTCAATCCGGTTAACTCCAGCGACCCAGCCCCAAGGAGATTCCAGAACATTCCGATTCAAAAGGATCTATAAGAGCCAGCTCAAGAGCCCATTTGGGGCTCTCTGCACCATTGGAGAAGCCCGCGTTCTCTCTGGATGCGGTACTCTCTCTCTCTTACTCTCCATTCCCCCGCTTATCTGCTTATCCTTTTCTCTCCCTCTCCAAAAGCCTACAAATAAAATCTGTTACTTCATTGCTCATCTACTCCTGTAATTCTTTTCTGCGCGAGACAAGAACCTTAGAAACCCTGGGTAAGGCTTGGGACTGGTCTCTCCTTTCTTGCAAAGAGCAAATTCTCGCCCCAACTTGAGTTCGTGGCTCCCCGAGCAATCGGGTGGTGGGGATTAACTCCCATGCCGAGAAGATCAAGCAGACTTCAGGTGTGGCTTGATGGCCACCTTATGGGGCTGGCGGAGCTTAGGCCTGTGCCAAGCAGGTGCTCACTGCAGACTTAACCAGTCCTAGCCTACCCAGGGACTCTTGGGTGGCAGAGGCGGAGTGAGAGAGAGTGGCCGTCTTTCCTCCTGACTTGCGTGAGCCACCCGTGGGGTCCACCGACATCAAAACATGGCAACCACGAAGGGACTGATGCAGTGAAGAAATCCATGAGGAAGGAGGTAGTCTTTGGAAAATCTGCTGCGGAGGTATACACCCTTGGAAATCTCTGGGGGATGGGGGAGGAATGTGATAACCTCTGTGTGAATGTGTGTGTGCATGAGCACCCTGATAGGTCCTCCTATCGGGCATGATTTTGTAGCTCCACGACCTGGCACTCTTAAAGTCCTTCTAAAGTCATGGAGCTCGAGTGGGCTGCCTATGATTCCACTGAGAACATATGGGCAAGGGTGGCACTGGCATAGCTGCCAGTCGCAAGTCACAATGCTGAACCACTAAGGCTAAGTTCTCCACTGGCCAGGCAAGCATCTGAATGTTCTCTGCAAAGAAGCACCCCTCCTTTGTCTGTTTTGCGTCACCGTCCACTATGGGAGGGACAGGAGGAAAGCCCACTAGTGAGAAGATTCTGGGAAACTAAAGCAGATCAATTTCCAGGCAAAAAATCCTTTTCCCTACCCAGTCTCAGTCTAACCAGAAAATCAGCTAGAGGTCATTTGAAATGCTAATGAAGCCAGTCCAGAGGTAAGGCAGAAAGAAAAAAAAAGGGTAAAAGGCAGGTAAGCGGCCTGAGAAAAGCAGCAAGCCAGCAAAAAAAGCAGGGAAGATGTAGCAAGCTGAGAGAAGGCAGAACTTTTTTCAAGGAGCAGAGTTTTAAGACCACAGCACTAGATTAGGCTTGGGCACACAGCTGTGGGTCTGCCCGATGCCAGGTCCGCCCACGGGACGCCTGCAGTGGAAGCACAGGCCATTGGTGGAGACGGTCCAAATCCAATGAGCCTCTGAGTAGAGGCCAATTTACAGGGGGTTAGAGTCCCCTCGGGAGAGGCCAGAGTAAAGGCCAATATGGGGATGGGGGTTAGAGTCCCCTTGGGTGAGGACAAAGTAAAGGGGTTCGAGTCCCCTTGGGAGAGGCCAAAGTGATAGATCTGGAGAAAAGTTTTGCCAAGAAACCATCTTTTTTTCATAGATTATTTCTTGCAATTAGGAAATATGGGAAATTCTACATCAGTACCTAAATATTCTCCTTTGGGTTGCTCGTTAAAACATTGGAGGAGCATCCAACTAGGTAGTTTAGTTAAGGAGTATCTTGTTGACCTCTGTAACACCACTTGGCCTGAGTATAAGTGTAAGGTCCCTAGGGACCCTGAGAAAAATTCCAGAGCTAAACTCTGCTAATTAGTAACTCTTCCTTACCTGTCCCCTCCCTGGTAAAGCCTTGAGATGTAAATTCTGTCTCCGTTTGTTGACTCTTCCTAATTGGGATGTAAATTCTGTCTCCATTTGTTGACCCTTCCTTATTGGAGTGAAAATTCTGAAACCATTTGTTGGCCCTTCCTTATCTGTTACCTCTGTTAGGAACTTTTCCCTTATCTGCCTCCACCAGAATGCAGGAGCCATGAGCTGAGAATCAAAGGGAGCCAGGTAAACGTAGAAGATAACCAAAATGTCTGAGTTACCAGATACCCACTAGCCACAATGCCTACGTACGTAAATGCTGACCTTTGAATCTACAGGCTAAGGAGTGATGTACTTTTAAATGGATTGGTTAAGAAAGTATATGTTGTTACGAATCTGTTGACTATGAAATGTGCAGGCTTTGCTGTAATGGCCAGTGAAGGCCTATATAAGATCCCCTTTGAAGAAGTTCGGGGTCTTGCCTGATGATTTGACCCTGGCTAGCCAGCTCAATAAACTACCTGCTTGCTGATTGCATTCCTGTGCGGTCCTTGCTTGCGGTCGGAGATCCAGTGTCGTGCCCTAACATAAACGAGAATATTGCATAAGCTAGAATATTGGGAAGGATATACAGTGAATGGCAGTGAATGGCAGTTCGCATTACCAGATCATTTTGCAGTCAGATCTTTGCAGGTAACTTAGGAAATAGGATTATCAAAGCAGAGGAGGCAGGAAAATGCAAGATCATATGATTAACTGTTTGATATCAGAAACAAGTGTGTCACTAAGGCAGCCTATCCCCATGTCTGATAAGAAGATACTAGCTCCCTGCCTCAGAACTAGCCTTGACCAAAATATGGTAACATCTGACCACCTTAGGTTTCAATAACTTTGTCATAGTTTATTTTGGTGGCTTATATCAACAAAAGCACTTTCTTGACCCATTTTTAACAAACAGGAGACTGGCTGGTCAGGCTGGGAAACGGGGAGCAGTGTTCCCAATCCGCCGGCAGGGCTTCTTTGCCCTGGGGACTGCTCCTTCCTTTCTCAGTCCATCAGTTTTCTCCCTGCCATTTTTGAAGGGTCAAATCGATCGATCAACTGCAGATGTGTGCACATGTACATGTGGTTTTTAGTCAGTTTATTGTCTGTCTGTCTGTCTGTGTGGAACACTCGAGTGCTGGAACCAGGTTGAAATCAGAAGTAGGAATTCTAGAGAAGTAAGTGATATGCAACTCAGTGATTTAAGGAATGTAGTTGTTTCTGGAACTTGCTAGACAAGGTTTGAACGAAGATTTCTTATCAGAAGGTTGAGCCTACAGAGAAAGCAAAATTCTCAATCTAAATTTCTTATTGGAAGAACATTAATGGTTATTAACAGTTGTAATTCTTTTGAACTTAAGAGTCTGTACTATCTAGGAAGAGCTGCAGAATTGGAGCCTAAAACTAAAGTGAAATAAGAGTTCAGAGAATGTAAGGCCTTATCTTACAAGCCATTAAAATAGAGTTTCCTCATGTTCATAAATAGTTTTCTTATGTTTCCATAAACATTGACAGTCCAAGTGCTTTTTCTATGCTAATATCAAAGTTTGGTAAAAATCCAAAAAGCCTTTTTCTGTGTCTAAAAACATGTTTGTATTCTTGTGGAATTGGTAAAAGTATCTGGTGTAGAAAACTTATGATTTAAATAACTAAGGGACAAGAACTATTGAAATTAAGCCAAAGAAGGTTTTATCATGTTTTATAAGAATTGGTGGTTCAAAGGTTTTTATGCTGTTTTATCAGTGTACATATTTGTATCTGCATTGGATTAGAATATTTGACCTAGAAAATCTTTGAGTTGAAATAATGTGGTACAGAAAAACAGGTTTATGTTTATTTTAAAACATGAGTTTCTAGAGTTATAAAGTTGGTTGCTACCGGGAGTGATTCTTGAGTGCAGAGCCAGGAATAACCCCTGTGCATTGCCGGGTGTGACCCAAAAAGCAAAAAAAAAAAAAAAAAAAAAAAAA